TCTATACATAGTATGGTTAGGCTTCTCTGGGAATTGGAATGTAGAGATGTACAGTTTTTTTTGTCTACAAAAAGGCTATGTATTTGCTTGATAAAAATGCCGATTTCTGGACCACATCCCAGGTCTAATGAGTCAAAATTTATGGGGGTAGAGCCTTAGCAAAAATATTTATATTAAAAAGCAGGCCAGTTGATGGTCACATACTTACAAGTTTGACAAGAGAAGCAATTGTGTAGCATGTGGTGTGTGGGAAGGGTACTATATTGCTGTCACTTTATCTATGTAGTGGCTATATCTATTTTCTTCTGGAAAGAAATTTCTTATTGTCTAAGACTCTAGTTCATTATAGGGTCAGGGTCTCCACTGGCAAAAGTGCTTTGTATGAAACCTAGCCAAACCTAAGACACAGTGAACAAGACACGTGGGCCATATGTTCTGCCAGGAGGCCAATTTTACTATCCAAAATGCCTGGCAGTTGTCAGAACTTGCAAGGGGAATTTTGTTTACTTTGTGAGCTGCCCAGTAGGTTCCAAAGGTCATTTAGGAATACTGTCACACTGTTGCTAGGGAAGACATGGTCTTCAACTTAGGTACATCCACTGAACAGGACGTTTGTAATCCCAATATTCATTTTATATCTATGGTCAATCAACAGCATTCCTTACATTGTAAAATCTCTTATTTCCAAGAAATACCACTTAAAAAATGTCTACTACTGTTAAATAGTAGTTGTATGTTTTCCAAATATCTTTTATCCACAGAACAGCTATATGATTAAGCATTATATATGATATATTGTTTGCTATGACTGAGAATCTTGACATAAATACAGTGAAATAACCATTTCAGAAATAAATTTTATATTTCAGAAAATATAAACATTTCAATTAAATAAAAAATTACTTCTCAGTATTATTTATTAAAGATCAGGGATTTGATATCAACAATAATAAAAAGAAAAAAACTAAGTTTAGGAATAATTGGAACTAATAGGTCTAAAATTTGAAAATAATGCCTTAACTATTTACACTGAGCCATGTTTATTTACATACAAATCCAAAATAGGCAATATGATCATTTACATGGAAGTTTCAAAGAGGCACAAGAGAGGTATGAAGTCTCAGCATACAATAAGCAGATGTTTCAAGGAGGAAGTGATAGACAGCAGGGCAGAAATGTGACAGAAGTAAGAAGAGGGGACAGGAAGCACAAGGCAAATGTGACAGACACAAATGGTAACAGAAAAAGTAGTGAAGAGCCAACCTAAACGTGGCATGAAGCAATGTGAGGAAGTCAAAGAGGGATTAAAACTTGCTTGCACAATGGTACAATATTCAGTCTTATGTTCAAGAAAAGGAAATGTAATTACATATGCATCTTTGACAAAAGGGAAATTATCTTTACTAAATTCTATAATCTTAATTTTTAAAAAGATGTTTCAGTTAATTCATGTGTTAATCAATACCCATGAACCACAGGGAGAAGTGAGAGCATCATAAACAGTATTTATACACTGATATCTTTGCTCCAACAGCACAGCACATGTAACTGTGCCAATCTCTATCCTGGGTGTCTAGGAAAGCTGCCATAAAATGAACAGGTGTTTGGGTGTGATTGGCTCAATGACTGTTTCATAGACTGTGCTGTTGACTGGTAGCTAGAGCAATCGCTTCCTCAATCTCTGCACAAAACCTGACACAGCACTTCTTCCTTCTGACAGTTCCTTGTACTGCGATGCATGCTTTCACCTAAGGGTAAGCCACCTCTTCTTAGACACAAAAGCCATCTGTGGCCCTTGAGATGCCTGTGGCCAGAGGAAGGCTAAGAAAGCCTATTTTTATGGGAAGGAAAGGGGAAACTATAGGAGTGGGAAAGAAATGGGGAGAGAGGGACTGGGAAGGAGAGTAGTTTTTTGTGTTGCAGGCAGGACAAAGAATAACTGTCAAATGAAATGCCTCAAGGCTGTACCATAGGTCACCTACCTCTTCATTCAGTAACTCTTTAGCATTTGCTTTAAAAATACAGTCCTCCCCTAGTATCTGCGAGGGACTGACTGTTCAAAAATCCCTGTGGACACCAAGATCCCAGGATGCTCAAGGCCCTTATATAAAATGTCGTATTTGCATGTAACATATACATAGCCTCCTGTATACTTTAAATCATCTCTAGATTACCTCATATAATCCCTACACATCATTTCATTTGTGTGGATTCAACATAGACTTGGCATGCTGCAAATTCAAGTTCTACTCTTTAGAACTTCACGGAATTTTTCTTTTTCCAAATGTTTGTGATCCGTGGTTGGCTGAATCCAGATACACAGTGCTGACTGTAAAACGTATCCAGGGATTCACTGATAGGGAATAGGACTAGATGATCCTTAGGTCATGATGTTCTCATTACCTATCCTTGCCCATTCTGTTACTCCCATACTGTCCTGGACTTCCTTCCTACTTGTTCACCCTCTGATTCTTTTCCTTTCACTCCTGGACCTTTCACTGGTGTCCCCGGGAACTCATACTTTATTACGATCAACAATTGTTTCATATTTTCTACCTTTTGTGGAAATACTACTCTTCACTTCCCTGCTTTAATTAGAATCTGACTATCCTCTAAGCACACTGGTCTCTCAGCAGCCCTTCTGAATGATGTTTATTCTCTCACTCCTTGCATTTGACACAAATACAAGTTTCAGATCATTATTTCTCATTTGTGTAACAACTTCTATTCTTTTGAGGCCCAGTTATCCCAACTCTACCCTTTCCTATCATTTACTGAACCCCACCTTACATTCACTAAAGAACTTTGGTGCCTAAATTACTCTGTAACTCAACTCTAGATATTACACACTGTCTGCATGGACAACCATCCAAAATGCAGGTCTCACTGTTTCATCTTCTAACCTCTTTTCTTCTCTGCCTCACTTGAGTCACTTACTTCTACAGTCATATCTGGCATACCTGACCTCCCCAGAATGACTATGATCTCCCATACTCAGGGAACACCTATGCTTATCTTTTGTGCTCAACAGCCCAATTTATACCTGTTATTTGACTTCAATGAGACCTCTCTACTTTTTCTCTATACATCAGCATTTTCCTTCTTTTCAAGAAACTTGCATTGAGAATTATCCTTTCTCCTATATCTTCAGTCTATCCTTTTTCACTAGAGATTAAACAAGTGCAAGAATCTTTTGTCTTAAACAAAAGAAAATAACAAAGTGATGTCTTTCTGTACTCATATCTTCTGGTTATAATTCTGTTTCTATTTAATATTTTCTACTCTTGTGGAAATACTGCTCTTCACTTCCCTGCTTTAATTAGAATCTAGCTATCTTCTACGCATAGTGGTCTCTCAGCAGCCTTTCTAAATGAAGTGAATTTAAGAAACAATTGGGCATTTTTTTCTATTTGTTGACTTCCTGCTCATCCCTCAATCCCTCCCAACCTGCTTTCTGCCTCTATATTTGTATTAAAAGAACTCCTTCTGAAGTCATCAGTGACTTCATTAGACAATTAGTTCACACTGTAGTTGATCCACAATTAGCACTACTACCTCCTTACCAAAGCAGAGCTTCCCTGTGGCCTCTGTTGCCAGCATACTCCCCTGGATTGCCTGGCCCTAGTTGCTCCTTCTCATTTTCCAGCCCTCCCCACTTGATTCAATCTTTAATTCAATCTACCAGTACCATGCTATTTTGGTTACTGTAGCCTTCTAGTATAGTTTGAAATCAGGTAGCGTGATGCCTCTAGCTGTCTTCTTTTGTAGTGCTTATCACAATTATAACACATTAATTACTTGTTAGCATCTGTGCATCTTTCCCCAACTCAAACTCCTTCACCAATTCCCACAAGAGGAATAACCATATCTATTTTATTTATGAGTGTATGCTGCAACTACGAGGCCTTGCCTGTGTGCTAGCACATACTTGCATGGAATGAATGGATGGATGAATGCTTATTCTAACTGTGGGATTCTGTTTATCTCGACAGACTAGAGAGCAATAGGACTGACATTTTTAGGTTTTACTCAAATAACAGTGAAAAAAAAAGCAATTAAAAGTTCTTTAATTCAACTACAGTTTTCTTGGGAGGAGGGCACCCTAACACCTAACTACTGGTAGTGAATTTCAACTTGTAGCTGATTCTACTTATAAAACGCATTACTTAAAAGTGAAAAGAGAGTATCAAAAACTCAGAAGAAGAAGGAATAAAGAACACTTTATATTGCTTAAGAGTCAACCCCATCATTCTCCATTCTCATCCTCTAACTCCTTCCTTAAAGCCCATATTTGCTACTACATTTAGATACTGATGTGTCCTTTGTTCAAGTTTGGTTAGAAAAAAATATTTAAAAAGCCTATTTAAGGAAAAGAAAGAACAAAATAGCCTCCACTTTGTACTAAATACCCCTTAAGCAGTGAATCCAATTACAGATCTGGTCTGGATAACAAATTATAGTAATTTTTTAAAAATTCTGAATGAAGCATGGAAAAAAATTAGGAAAATAACACCAAAATTTGGCTGCACCCTGAAATATCAATCCATGCTATTTAAATTCTTGTAACTGTCTTCATTAACCAATTTACTTTTTCCTTCTGTTTACTTAGACACATCTTTCCCCTTATATGCAGGGTTGAACAAAAGAATGAGGAAAACTCTTTCTTTAAATAAGTCTCTAATTTAACCACACCTCTATCTACTTGTGGTGGATAGAAATACTATAGAGGATGATAGGAAACTGGAATTTTAAGATGTTACATTTTAGCCACAAAGTGCATGACTATTGCTAACCATGTTTGAATAAGTGTTCTGTGTTCCTTCCACAATTAAAACTTAGATGGTTAAGCTGAGGCTTTCAGGCAGTATATCTACGGACAACAGTGGTATCCACCTATTCACTGTGCCAAGCTTGTTGTGATATTCACGGTTTCTTAATCAGATACTGCTTTCTATTACATTGCCTTACCTATGCTTCTGTGTGTTCCTGACCTACTTTACCTTCACAGGGATGTCCTCTTCCTGGCTTGCTTTCTCTGAGGTGAAGACATATGATATTTCTTTGTGAGATGTGGTCTGGCGGCAGATTGCACACTTAATGGAGCTTCTGTGAGATCCCACGCTGTATTGTTCAACAATTATAGAAATGCATTCATTACAGAAACAGTGACCACAGGTCAGTACTGCCCACTAAAAAGAAAACACACAGAACAAGCTTTACCACTATTAAAGATGCCTTTCAATTCTATCAAAAAAAAGCCTTAGTGCTATCAAAGATGCCTTTCAATTCTATCAAAAAAAAGCCTTAGTGCTATCAAAGATGCCTTTCAATTCTATCAAAGATGCCTTTCAATTTGTAAGTATATTAAAAGGAGAAGGGAGTCACAATTTTTCTTCCTAAAGATTTCATGACATTAATATTCTCTGTTATAAAGCTAAGTTGTGCTTTTAAATTAATTGTTTTTTATTCCAAAGTAAGCTTTCATAGACTTCAGTTCTGTTTATCCTAAGTGAGTATGATAGTCAGCCATCATTACTTTGTAGGAAGTTGGTTTTCTCATTTCTGTATCTGGGAAAAGTGCAAATTAGTCCTTCAGCACTCTAACAATATATACAACAGAGGGACTCAGAATAACATTATTTTGGAGGTAATATCATACTCAGTATGTTCCACTTAATTTAAAAAACATTTATATTTTCACACATTAAAGCACTTATATAGAAAATAATATGGGCTAGTTAGTATTTCAAATTTATTTGGGTATTTTTTTAAAAAAATACAAACAAAAAGAAATTTTTAAGAAACCCCTTGTCATATTTCGAGAAAAATAAAATAATACACTCTGAATCTCTGCAAACACACCAGGGAGACTTTTGCCCTCTTTGGCAATGAGAGACGTAAAAGAGCAACAGATTTAGTCTAGGTGAAAGTTCTAAAAGCTATGGCATCTTATAAATGTTTATTTAACCTTTTTCACCTGGTAAAAACAGTAAGAAAAACTGAGTGTCGTTTTGAGTGAAAGCTCCTAAATCCTTAAGCTATGTTTGTTTTCAGGATTTGGACATGTATGGAAAGAAAGTATATGGCTGGCCCACTCAAGGTTCTTTGCAGGACCAACTAAGATGCTCTTTGGACAAGACACAATGAAGGAAAGAGAAAATTGAGGAATATAAGCTTGGTTTTAAAACCACTATGTTGCCTGTTATCAGCTAATACTATTCCTACTGTTTTCCAGCTGCACCTCTGCCAGAGTCCACAAGAGTTGAGACTAATGAAACTGAAGAGCTATTTTATCAGCATTTTGTATGACACAGAGCGGCACTCTATTGCACTTTATGAACCTCTTGCGCCACTGGGCTACTCTATTGGAAAGCAGTTTTGTGACTCAAAAAGGTGCTCAAAAAGGACCAACTAAACAGCCAGACAGGTCTACCTACATGTACAACGGTGAAGAACCAATGAGATACCTGGCACCTGAGCATTAGGAGTGATAGGAAGCTGACTGACCCAAACAGAAGAAATAAATGGCGATGCCTCAAGGGGCATCAGCTGGTACATAGATGTTATCTCTGACAGATTCTAATTTAATAGCTATAAATTAGAAGAAGAGAACTGAGGAGGGAAAAAGGAAAAAAATATACAGCTACTATAAACTGTGAGGTATGAACAGAGCTTGAAAAGTAGTTTTGCTACTATTATTAAAATCCGATATGGTCTGTTAAGTATAGGAAACCTAGGTTATGCTAGACTTAAATGAACAAATGTATATGGAAGAACTTTAAAAACTGAAAATGTTGAAGATGAAATAAAATGTCTGAGACAGTCCAGTTGCATGAATCTTATCAAAACTAAAAGCAAGAGTCTAGTTTATGTCATAATTTCTTCCATTTTTATCACAACTTTTATCACAGTTTCATCACTGACTTTTGTCAGAAGTCACCAGCATATGTACACTACTATTCTGCTCAGTTTCCAATGTAAATATCTCCCCCTTTAAGATACATTACCAAATGAAGTGTTATGATCTCACCTTCTCTACCAATCTTGGAAACCAAAAGGTACTTTCTTCTTGATTATTACTGGTCAGAATATAGAATGCATATATTTACCTTTCAACTCTCAGTTCCATAGATAAAACAGCCAAGAATATTTCTACTTCACAAGTAATAGGCTTATCTTTCAAATTTTCAAAAGCAATGAATATTCTGATATATATATATATATATATATATATATATATATATATATTTATCTTAGAAAGCAGAAACTTGTATTTTCGTAAATTGCAGTTCTCCCAGAGGAGAATATGGTTCTACCATGTTTACAGACATTATGTATACTAATATTCACAAAGAAATACACTTTTTTAAAAAAATTTTTTATTCCATTTTAGATTTGGGGGTACATGTGCAGAACATGCAAGACAGTTGCATAGGTACACTCACATGGCAGTGTGTTTTGCTTCCTTTTTCCCCTTCACCCACATTTGGCATTTCTCCCCAGGCTATCCCTCCCCAGCCCCCTGCCCGCCGCTGGCCCTCCCCTTTTCCCCCCAATAGACCCCAGTGTTTAGTACTCCCCTCCCTGTGTCCATGTGTTCTCATTTTTCATCACCCGCCTATGAGTGAGAATATAAGAAATATACTTAATACAGTGGTTTACCAAAATCACATGGAAATTTCCCTAGGAGAGATTAATTTGCACTCTAAAGTATAAAGTATTATGAGATATGAATACTGCCAAGTAAGAAGTATGATTCTACATTAATGTAATACCTTAAATAAATGTATGTGTGTTATGCCACGTAATTATTGAATAACTATGTTACCTGACAAAGTCAAATAACTGGACACAATCTTGTGACTGGAAACAATGTCTGAAACTATCTATCTTTAATTAAAGAGATGGGGTCATTTTAGAAATATTTTTTCACTTTCCATTTAAGAAAAACGTTGCTCAGACCTCTATCCCTAAGAATGTCACCTAACCTCAGGTGTTAACCTTTAAGTGACGGTGATACTTGCCTTTCATAGAAACTAGTGATGAGAAAAATGAGAGAAAGAAAAAAATATTTTATGTAGAAGCCTTTGAAAACTGTAAGGTTATTTTATAAATGCATGTGATGTTTATTATAATTTCACCTGTTTTCCCAGCTGTCGAGCACAGATTGGACAAGGTTCTGGATTAATACCTTCTGATGTTTTGTCTTGAGACTATCCAAAAAAGAATTAAAAAATATATTAGTTACATTTTTACATATAAAACCTGATACATGTTTTGTAACTCATGGAAGTGAATACTGGCAATTACAATTTTCATAATTTATCAATTTAGATGATCCATTAATCTCTATATTACCTAACATTACTATTCCTGGGACATACAAATACCATTTATTCAAGGAGTGAACAAAAAAAATAAAAACAGTTTTAATCATACAGGTTGAATATCCCTAATCCAAAACCTGAAATCTGAAATTTCAGATAACAGATTTTCAGATTTGGGATGATTAACGGCTATAATGCAAGTATTCTTGAATTAGAAGAATTTGAAGAAGTCTGAAATCTGAAACACTTCTGGTTCTAACTATTTCAGATAAGGCACACTCAACCTGTAGCTTCAACTATAGTAACAGCATATCTTGATTACAGTAGAAGGCAAAATTAAAAGCAAATTACGACAGCTAGATTTTTAAAGTTTTATTTTTAGGCTACATTTTGTTATTAAAACATACAGATTACTTAAAACTATACAATTTAGAATTTTGAAATAAAAGCTCCTCATTGTTTTTGAAAAAACCTGTACTTAATCTGCATATCTACTTGGCATAAAAGCATAGATATAGAAAGAGTCAGCATTTATTTATATAATGTAACTCCTTATTAATACAGGCTTCTTCTCAGCATCCTTTTCCTAAACTCGTATAAAGCAAATAAATGTGAAACAGAAATATTACTGATTTCAGACCTCTTTATAACCAGAAATTATATCAAAAACAATAGCTTTTCGAAATCTCCTTAGTATTATAAAAACTGAAAGAGTTTCAAAAAAGTCACCAACCAAGTGGACAGGTTTTAAAATCGAAGAAAACACAAAGGAAAATAAATTAGAATAAAAGATCACTGAATTTTTTTGTCTGAGGTTTGACTAACCAAATAAGCAATTAAAAATTCTATGATTTAGGCTGGGCACGTTGGCTCACGCCTGTAATCCCAGCACTTTGGGAAGCCAAGGCAGGTGGATCATGAGGTCAAGAGATTGAGACCATCCTGGCCAACATGGTGAAACCCTGGTCTCTACTAAAAATACAAAAATTAGCTGGGCATGGTGGTGCACGCCTGTAGTCCCAGCTCCTCAGGAGGCTGAGGCAGAAGAATTGCTTGAATCTGGGAGGCGGAGGTTGCAGTGAGCCAAGATCCCGTCACTGCACTCCAGCCTGGAGCCTGGCAATGGAGTGAGACTCTGGCTCAAAAAAAAAAAAATTCTATCATTTGGCTTATAAATAGTAAATAAAAAAATATCTAAATTGTGCATGGATTCAGCAACTCTAAAGGTTAAAAACTATTCTGCTAACTGAAACAAAGTTATGCAGACATTTAAAGCAACTGAACAACTTAATTATTCTTTCCTCTGTTAATTACTGATTTAGTTATAAAAATAAATAAATAATGGACAGTTCTATAATGTCCATTTGATGCTACCATATAGATTCCAATTCATTTTATCTGTTGTCCAGTTTCCCTTTTCACGTATAATAAATCACCCAAAATTTTAGTGGCTTAAAACAAACACACATTTCCCATGATATTATAGGTGATTTGGGGATGGGCTGAGTTGGCTAGGGTCGGATGGTCTATAATGGCCTCGTGCTAATGTCTGGCAGTTGGTAGGCTATCTGGTCTACATGGAGGGCTGAGCTGAGTTGGGGCTCTTCTACTCAAGAAGGTAAACTAGGTTTTTTTCAGACAGTCTCATGGAGTTCCAAAGGGCAGCAAGAATGGGAGTACCCCTAAGTGCATGGACTTTTTAGGTCTCTGCATGTCAGAAGGTCAAACAAAAGTTATCTGACTAAGGCCAGAGTCAGTATAGAAGGGGACTGCTTATAGGCATGTATACATGAAAGATCATTGCTGTAGCACTTGGTAAACAATCTACCATAATTCACAATAGCTCTTCTTTTCTAATATGTCAATAAACAACTGACATTTATATAAATGGTGAGATTATAAATATTTTAGGCCTTGTGGGACATACGGTCTGTGTTGTAACTAGTCAACTCCACTATGTAGCATGAATGTAGCCACAGACAATAGGTAAATGAATGAGTATGACCATGTTCCAATAAAACTTTACTTACAAAAAAAGTAGTGGGCTGAATTTTTCCAACACACGGTAATTTGTAGATCTTTAACTTAAACAATTTATAAATTTTCCTCTAAGCACTGTCACATATTTTTACTTTCACTCAGTTCAGAGTATTTTTGAATCTCCATTTTGACTTCTTCTTTGACTCATGGGTTATTCAGAAATATGTTGTCAATTTCTAAACTTTTAGGGATTTATCTAGTTATGGATTTCTGGTTTAAATTCTTCCTCAGTCAGAAATCATACTCTTGCATACTTTTAATCCTCTAAAAATTTTAAGAGCTGCTTTTTGAATTAGCATAAGGCCTATGTTGATAAATGTTCCATATAAACCTAAAAAATATGTATTCTGCAGTTGTTGAGTGGTCTGTGTCAATTAGGTCATATTTGTTCATTAGTGTTCAATTGTTCAATATCCTTATGGACTTTTTGTCCATTTATCTGGAAGAATCTTATAATAGTTTACCTCTGCTTACCTCCTTCCTTTGTGCTACTAACATCTATTTTAGTTCTACATTGTCATATAACCCATCAGACAGCATTGCTACTTTTAAATAAGTCAATATCCTTGCATATTTATGTACATATTTAAGCTTCTGCTCTTCATTCCTTACTGTAGTTCCATCCTTCAATCTGAAAAAATTTTCCTTCAGTCCAAAGAAGTTCCTTTAGAATTTATTGTGATGTGGGTTTACTGGAAATGAATTATTCCAGTTTGTGTTTGTCAGAAAATATCTTTATTTCACTTTTTTTAAAAAAGGAAATTTTCTTTAAGTATAGAATTCTAGGTTGACTTTTTTTTTTTTAGCGTTCTGAAGATGTTCCAATGTCAACTGCTTACAGAGAGAAACTATGCAAAACAGTGAAACATTTTTAAAGGTGAAAAGTCTCTACGTAGCCACCAGTTTTATTAGTGCTCTTTTCTAAATATTAAGTGTTTTATCTCTCAACTTTTTAAATTTTTTTTTTTGAGATGGAGTCTCGCTCTTGTTACCCAGGCTGGAGTGCAATGGCGCGAACTCGGCTCGTCGCAACCTCCGCCCTTGGGTTCAGGCAATTCTCCTGCCTCAGCCTCCTGAGTAGCTGGGATTACAGGCATGCGCCACCATGCTCAGCTAATTTTTTGTATCTTTAGTAGAGACGGAGTTTCACCATTTTGACCAGGATGGTCTCGATCTCTTGACCTCGTGATCCACCCGCCTCGGCCTCCCAAAGTGCTGGGATTACAGGCTTGAGCCACCGCGCCCAGCCTAAATTTTTATCTTTCATTATTTTTGGTCTCCAGGAGTTTGACTATAATATACCTAGGCAGTATTTTTGCTTTTGTTTACATATTAGGCTTAGGGTTTCTGAACTTCTTGAATCTGTAAGACATTTATCATATTGTCTTTTATCAGTTTTAGATCTCAGCCATTATCTCTTGAAGCTCCTGTCCTATTCTCTTTTCCTTTTGAACTTCAATTACAAGTATACTAGCTCTATGAAATTACAAGTATGCTATATTAAACAACTGTGTCTCAATATCTTTTGCCCTGTTTAGCTCTTTTTTTTCTATCTATGCCACTTCAAATTGGGTATTTTCTACTCTACTGTACTTGAGTTCATAAACACTGTCTTTTTCTGTGTCTGGTCTCCATTCGATGAGTTTTTGATTTCAGATAATGTAGTTTTGCAGTTCTATAATGTCCATTTGATAAGATTCCAATTCATTTCATCTATGTTGTCCAGTTTTCCTTTTCCTTTTTTTCACATAAAAGTTGAGAATTCCAAATCCAAAAATCCATAATCTAGAATGTTCTAAAATCATAAACTTTTAGTGCTGATGTGATGCTCAAAGTTAATGCTCACTGGAACATTTCAAATTTTGGATTTGAGATGTTAAACCTGCATCAAATTGTTGAATTGCTTTTAGGAAAAGCTTATATGAATTTGTATTTTCATTGGTAATGCATAAAACGTATCCATTCATTGCCCTTTTTCACCACTGGGGTGTATAATCATTTAAAAAATTTGTGTCTACTTGTTGGCAGAAAATGGCACCTGTGTAATTTGATTTTCCATCATTAAGGATTACATACTTTTTCTTTTATTAATAGCCAAATAGAATTTTCCTATGTAGATTATTCATGTCCTTAAAATTTTAGGTTTTAAAATATTTTAACATATAAGCAATGAGGTACAATTAACAGATAACTGTCTTTTCATTTTGACTATCATATTTAACGTATAGAAATCTTACATTTAAAAAACTTATGCCCAGCGATGTTGAGACATTTCTCCTAAGTGTTATATTCTTAATCTTAGCATTTTGTATGAAACTTTAAAATTTTCTTTCTATTTTTCAGAATAACAGTGTTGGTAATCATAACAGTAGAATCTTAATATTAATAGCAGCAAAAACCTAGAAAGTGCTTAAAGGAGCAGAAACTACTCTAGCATTTTACATATGTTCACATAATCCTCAAGAGAACCCTATACTATAAATTAGTGTCGGTATCATTTTACAGATAATGCAAGGGAAGGTGAATAACTTAAATAATCTCACATATCTAGAAAATAGTGAAGTCACGATTCAAAATTGGGCTGTCTAGATTCAAAGTCTGTCTTCTTAGTCGCCATGCTATTTTATCTATAATGAATGTCTAACTTTTGATTTTGAGATTTACTGATTCACTTATATGTTGTACCAGTTTTCGGAAGAATTCAAATTTGTAGCTTGTTTTCACTTGCCCTATCCAAATATTTACTACGGTATCTTGCCCAAAGAAGGTGCTCTGCCAACTCTTAAAATACAAATTCCTGCAATAAAATGGAATTATATTTAATCAATGACTCATCAATTCATCAATGTTCAAATAATACTTAGATCACAACTCAGAACATGTGTTTTGAATTACACTTTATATTTGACGGTTCTACCTTTATTACCACGTACTCTGATTTAGTAGCTCTCCAAACACATTTCAGTTTCAAATAACAAATTAAAACATTGTTTTATTTATGAATGAATGCATATGTATAAATTGCATTATGCCATTTTCACCAAGATATGCTGTAATACTTCTACTATTCAAGGCTTTGAACTACAGTCCATTTACATTGTTCTCTACTATGGAGTGCAGGCTTTCTATATCAAATGCATAACATAATTTCTATAGATACAATATTCTTTTGTGATCTGTGTAGCTATTGTAGAGACATAGGTGGTGTTCTGACTCAGATAACACAAATATTAATTTTTAAAAATTTGCACCATTAATTATTAAAAGAGTCACTAAAGTGGTTTATGATAATATAGCATAGGAAAAAGTAGCATGTCTTAAAAACAATACCTTCTCCAAATTAGTTAGGTAAAGAAGCTGCCCAAGTTTTTTCTGAAGCTGTGATGTAGCAACGGCTTTATCATTTAGTAGTTTTATTCGATTTTGTTCTACCTAAAGAAAATAAAAATAAAAATTTCTTTATTCTCTCTCAGAAAGACAGTTAAATTATATTAAATATACACAATTTTCCAATAATATAAATGTTTTCAGTTTAAAAAAAAATCTATTTATATTCTAAAACACAAGTTTTCAAAGTGGACACTAGATAACATATTTCAAATGACTTTTTATTTTTCCCCTATGAAAGGCACAACTCAATGTAGAGCTCTTTCAAACAGGAAGTGTCCCTGTGTACCTGAAGTCAGACAAAAATCAGCTCAAATTCTATTATGTACCATTGTTTTTCAGTAATACATCCATGGGATAAAGAAATGTCAAATGATTTGCTGCTCTGGCCTCAGTGATTTCATGAAATCCAGGAAAGAATGAATCTCTCTGCCCTTTCTTCGTCTGCTTCCCCAGTAGAATATAGCAGACAGAGAAGGAACACTCTAACAAGAGGAATTTATTTTCTCAGAAAAACTTACTCACAATTCACATATAATAACTATTATCTAAATTTTCCCAAGTTATATTCTCCAAGCTGTACAGAAACAGACATAAAGCACTAAACGAATAAAGAATAAAAATAAATAATAAAGAAAATAATATCTTTTAATGGAGAATAAAAAATATTGCTGGAGTTATGTTTTCAAACCTGGGTTACAAAGACAAATTTATTAGAAGGTAAGTTGTTAATACGAGTTCGTCATTAGTAAAAGGAACATTGCAAAAGAAAAGGTTTCAGTTGTTCTTAAGGAATATTTTTCTAGTTCTGATAAAACTGAGGTTAATAGAAAAAAATCTAAAAAGTGAGAATATCTATTGGTTTTAAGCACCTATAATGTTTTAAACTCAAAAATAGATGAATGTGCAATGTGGACAGAAACAAAATGCATCAAAATAGTGAATGCTAAGCAAGTAACAGACATGAAATCCCTCATCTTTGTTTTTCTTCTACAAAGACAATTTTTTATGGGTTGAATTAAAAATGAAGACTAAATACACACTTATAGATCAGTGAGTGCCCTGATTCTGCCTCTCCTTTGGGTCTTGGATATCTGTAACATCCGCTTGCTGTTCCAATTACCTCATGTGGTTCAATGATATGAAGAACTGGCGGATTAGGCTTTGGCTCCCTAGGATCACGCACTCTTAGTCGTTCTGTAGCCATTGCAAGTTCATCAACAGCAGACACACGATTCCTCAGAGCCATCCAATATTCATGAAGCAACTGAAGGAACAGAAAAGACAAACCAGTGGTAAAGCATATAATTAAAACTGGTTAAAAATCACCAAGATGTGCCTTGAGCAAAAGTCTTCAATGAGATCTTATATTTTTTTCTCTATGTGTCTAAAGTACAAGTAGTTCCTGGGGTCACTTTTAGGAAGAAATGTGAATGAAAAAAATCTCTATAGGACGCTACCTCTTTAGATTCTCAGGAACAGAATACAAAGATTTTGGTAGGACCAAAAATCTTTATAAAGTCTAATGCTAGACTGACAGAATCTCTTCTCTGTTTTATTTTTTAAAAAATATTTTTATTATAACATATTTCACATATCTATTTATAAAATGGCAATAAGAATACTAAAATACACAATCAGGTACCCACCATCCAATTTGAGAAAGAATAATATGAATTCCTTGGAAAGGCTCTGTGTGTTATTTCTCAATTATATCACTCTCTTTCCTCATATATTCCTCTTTCAGTACCCAACCATGGGCCAAACCACTATTCTGAATTGTACTTATCCTTCTACATCTTCATTGAACTTACACTATGTGAAACATATTCTTAATAATTCAGTTATTATACATGTTTCTGAAATTCACAGAAATAGTATCAATCAACATACATTTTTTGACAGCCTCACTTCACTAACTTTACATTTTGAGGTGCATCTGGTGGATATGTATAGTAAGAGCTCATTCAATTGCTTTTCTGTGAAAAGGTCTGTAAAGTTATGCAGAACAAAATGTATAAAGATCTGGGAGAACTGCACAATAAGCTCTCCTCTGGACAAAGGGCATGTGGTCAAACTGAGTCCAAAGAAAGAATATAGGGGCAACTGCACATTATACATAACACTGTCTTCTTCCACGGCTTACTGTAATTAACTGTGTTAATGTGCTTTCTATTCACAAGAGTAATATGTGAGAAAAAAATTATTACGAAGCAATGATTTCAGTATTATAAAAGTATTCCCCAATTTATGACATATCAACTGATAGTACAAATAACTATCTTTCTGCAAAAAATTTTTATCCTCTTTAAAAGAAATTTTTTAAAATATTGAATAAGACTATGACATTATAAGTGAAACATTTCTTTCCTTCCTCTGCCTATCTCACTTGTAAAGCAGGACAATAGATAACCAATCCAAATAAAACAATAATTCAAAATTAATGAATTGGGAATCTCAAGTACAGAGTTATAATATGATGGAATTATTAAAGTACAAATATGAAAGGGTACATTGTGCTTTATTCATTGGAACGGTTTCCAGACTTATAGAATGAGAAGTATTTACTATGTTCCTCAATCTTTAAGGTAGTTGATGCTTGCCTGTTATTCGTAGAACAAAAACAAAACAAAACATTAATTTCATACAATAGCAGTGAAAGATAAAGCTATTAATAGTATGAAACACTTTCACAACTAATCAAAAAGTTTCATATAAGTTTCAGTTTAATAATGATTTTCTTTTAGTAATTTAATAAACAGAATGTCTTTGAGTATTATGGTATTTTCTATCCTTCATTACAACAATTAAATTTTAAGCAAAGAGAACTTATGCCACCTCAATCTCTAAAGAAGAGTGTACAAAACTAGAGAGAGAAAAAGAAAGGTAGCAATTAAAATTCATGTAAAAAAGGAGAATTTTTAATTTTGGAAGGAAATTTTAAAGTACTATACCTTATATTCTTTCTTCCATGCTTCAAAGAGATCCATTGAAGTGCTGCCTTCATCAACAAATTCAACATCAAATCTATGTGACTTTGCAAATGATAGTATTGCTTTCATAGATCGCTCTGTCTCACTTATTGCCCAGAGCCCCCGGGTCGTGGTAGGTACTCGATCATCCACCAGTCCTTCTTCATCTTCTATCATCTCCTCAAATATTGCAGTCTGTCCTTTGACTCTGAAAACATACCAGAACAAAACAACATTAACTGCTTTCAGTGAGTAAGAAGCACTGTAAATGATGATATTAGCAAAACAAATACAGAAGCAAGGTCAGTAACTTTTCAACAACTTTCAATGGGAGGTCTAAAAGAACATGTTTGCAAGTCTTTGGAAAAACCAAAACAACCCTGAAAAAGCTGAAAACATATATTTGGCCAGTTTTTTTTTTTAATTCTATTATGTCAACTGTCATAAATAGAAAGACTATTGATTCATTCACTGTAACATAACACAAAAATCTTGTTTTCTTCCTTGACATACAGAAGTGAACACATGGCAAGGAAATACATGGGGAGAATTTCTATTTTAGAGAAATTGTATCTGTTGGAGATGAATAATTTGTATGGAAATATGGAGAAATGTATTATTTACTTCAGTAATAACAAAAACGGATTTGACCTAAAATAGAAAGAATGGTGATATACCAGGATGAAAGTAGACATATTTATTATTCTAACAAGCTTCACTCTGAGAATCCAGGTGTTTGTGACAAGGTTTGCTTATTGTTTTATTAAAGTAATAACAGAGTTGATTGAGTCATTCTTTATTCTTGAAGAAGTTATACTGGACATTATGAGTTCTTCCTTGAATAGTGGTAAAATGCTAGCAAAACCTGTATAGTTCAAATCCACTTGACTCTAGAGTCTGGGATTTTACCACTCCCCAAAACTGCACCTCAATTAATTATATATTACTACACCATGAACATTTAGTGGGTAACTTCTGGCTCTGTAAAACTGGGAATATTAAACAATCAAATGCCAAAGGTGTACTAATCAATTTAATTAAAGAAACAACATAATAAAAGTTACTGTGGAGAAATTATAGTCTTTAATACTGAGTCTTACAAAATGTTTCACTTTCATGATGGGTAATATAATCAAATAGAAAACTTACGTGTTGGAAAATAGCTTTGATTCATACTCTGTGAACAATTCATCAGCTTTACAAAAGACACAGCTGGAAAAAAGAGATTAACAGAGAAATATTCACAAACATAATCAGCAACCTGGTAATTTTAAGAAGAAGCTTAGTATTTTGATTTCATTTTTCATTATACTATATATGCCATTTTAGAAAAAAAAAAATCACATGGTTTTTTTAAACATTGTCCTTATGATTTTATTTTTCTTGAAATAAGATTAATAATATATCTCTTTCTATTTCTGTCTCAATTAAAATGAAAAAACCTTTATTATACGAGTCAACTGTTTCTTCTCTAAGAAATCTAGCTTAAAGAAATGATACCATTTCATTGTATGATTCCTTCTATTACCTACCAATTGAGAGGAAGCCTGGCTGGTCGGAGGTGGCAGATTGTTGCAGACTCAATAACATTACGAGATGGAGGTCCCTCCAGGTTTTTTACAGCATCTCTTACTAGCTTCTGGCATTTATTTAGCTCTTCCATTTGTGTTGTAAGTAGGAACTGAAGACCTCTGCAATCATGGAATCTGATTCCCATCAGCATCACACACAACACAAAGAAAAGAGTAATAGGTTAATTTCCTCAAATTCAGAAGATGGTTGCCAAGCAAAGTGTTAAATAAACTGTTAGCTGTTTTTGTTTTTTTTTAACCAGCCACATTTGAGTGAGTTTTCCTTCAGAGTGCATTCAAAGGATAATACTGGGGTGTCTACTATAAAAGATACCAAAAAAATTTGAGAGTCCTGTGTTCAGGAACTGTAAAAGAGCACAAAAAATGTATGTCTCTGTCTCAGACATCCTTGAAAGAGCAGGATTACCATATTCTTCTGTTTTAAATCTGACTACAGATGGCCCTCTTAACATCCTTGTTCTACATGAGGAGGTGCCTACAGGACAAAACATAACATAAAGCAGAAAATTGGAAACAAGAAAAATGGTTAAAAATTATATTCCTTAGTTGAAAAAAAATATATATATATATATGTGTATATGTAGATATACTTAATTAAATCTGTAATTATGACCTCTGCTAAACACTTTTCCTGTGTAAGTTCAATAGTTACTAATGTGCTCACAATATGAAGTGTAAAATATTAAAGTAACTAAAGTAACAAAGGTATGTGGCAGTTAGGAGTTAAACCCAATTATAGACCCGTAACCATTTTTATAAACTGTGAATAAAGAGGACTGCAAAAAAAGAAGTATGAATGTGTGTGTACGTTTATGAAAGGAGAAGAAAAGCCAAGAATAATAAGAAATTAGAAACTAGAAAATACAAGGAGGATTTCTTTGCTATAAAAGTTATGAGTAGATACTTTTTCTTCATATTTTCTTACTTCTCTGACATAGAAAGCTTGCTAGTTTGCTGCTTGTAGTTGCTGGTTATTTCATTTCGCACTCGCTGAACAAGCTCCTCATCAATAGTAAATTCTATTGCTCTGTGGATCACATTTAGCCACCAAGGAGAATTAGAATGAATCTGCAAAAAAGGTAGCAGTTAATCAATTAATAGATTTTTTTTAATACTCACTAGGCTTCCATCTCTGGGAAGAATGATGTCAAAATTCAAATAAAATAATAAACGCTATTCTCAAAGACTATCACAGAGGGGAGATGAGTATACATATTCCATGTACAATGCTCACTTCCTCTTTTGAAAACATAATTAAAGAGAACACCTATATTCTAACTTCTCTGGATAAATGAGAATTTATTGTATGGACTTATATAACAAAGCTGTAACTAAAAAAATTCTTTATATGTGAAAAGGTCACAGGTCTCTTTATCAGCATAAGAAGGAAAGCCTTCATTCTCATCTTTAACTAACTGAACTGGATTCTACTTAATGAATAATTTACAATAACTAACAAAATTATACCCCAGGATAGTAAATAATTAATGAATTAGGAAGACAAAAATTTACAATACCCGATTTAAAAATTGAAAATAAAATTGTATTTGTGTAATCTCTTTAGATTTTGCTACTGATTTCATAAAGAGAAATTTTAGAAATGACAAATGGTATATATTCTGCAGTAAAAACACCTACAGTTCTAATGTTTTAACATCTTAAAACAACTCAGAAACAAAATCAAAAGGAGGTTATAGAAGTCTTTACTTTCTTCAAAAGACAACTGTTATATACTCAAGGTAAGAGAAAACCCATAAGAGTTCAAAATAAAGAGAACCTCAAAATAGCTGACTTATCTATGCATCTGTTCATTCAACCAATAATCATTGCTAACAGTAAATAAACTTGTATTGTGAGTCAGGCAATGTACTAGGTGCTAAGAATTCCAAGATGAATAAGAAATTCAAGTTTCTCCCCACAAAAAAAAAAACAAAACCAAAACTGTTATCTGGAGACAAACACAAGTAAGAAACACTGCATTGTGGGGAACCTTTCTTTGAAGCTCATGGATGGTCTGCTGCACAGGATATAAAGCTTGATGGGCTTCAGCAACTTCTGTGTTACACTTGCTCATATAGTGCTCTCGCAGCTGTTTGGCCTGTGTTGAAACAGAAAATATAAACTTTCACCCCTGATCTAGAATATAATGTAGTATGATATTTCAAGAAGAATGGATCATTTAATATATTTAAAGCTACTTCATTTAAACATAAAACTCCAAGTATACTGTAGAGAACATGGAAGTCATGCTAAAAATTCCTAATATATGGAAGTTACCAAACTTTACCTGTCTAAGTAACAAAATTTAAGAAATTCCAAAGATTTGTTTGCCAAATTTTTATTTAAATTATATTTTTTAGTTAGAATCAGTAAAGCAGACACCTTTCTAAAATTTGGCTAATTTAGTTATTGCAATTTATTAGAGTTACTGCAGTTTAAAAAGAATCCTTTAGAATATACAGTAATACAGGTGTTAGGGACTGAATTTTGTTTCCCCAAAATTCATACACTGATGCTCTATGAAAATAGATTTTAAATGTTCTCACTACAAAAAAATAAGTATGAGGTAATGGATATGTTAGTTTGATTCAGCTATTCCAGTGTCTATATATATGGAAACATCACTTTCTAAAACATAAATATGTAACATTTTTGTCAATTAAAATAGTTTGCCAGTCCGCCTTAGCCCCCAAAACAACCAGTACAAATGGGTTGTGCAAACTTATACATCTCATTTCTTATCTTGTTGACTCATATAAAGGCTCCACTTCAGGTTCGATACATTTCAAGCACACATACTCTTTTGATTTTAGCTCTTTAATGTTTAAAAACAGCAAAAATCCCTAGAAGAATCTGCATAAAAAGCTATTAACAATGTACAGTTAAATAATTTATTATATCACTCTTTTCAATATCATTATTTTCAGTAAGAGTTAACACTTTTTGTAGAGGAAACTCTTCGAGAGAAATTCCACCAAATATTTGACTTTACCCCCTTTAAAAATACACAGAAAGGTGGAGAAAGAGCATAAGTTTATATATTTACTAAGCTATATCTTCTGTAGATCTGCCATGAGATCAAAGTTTCCTTTTTAAAACTTAATTACATTCTGTTCTGTTGGCTATCAACAGCCATTACCTGTAACAAGCATTTATCACATAACTGCAGGTAGATCAGCAGAGAAGCCAAATAATACATACTACTGCCATTCTCTGCCACCTAAAACCACAACAAAATTTGAAACATCAAAGCAACAGAAAAACACGATTACACTTATTTAAATGTTGTATGTCCTAGGATATACATGGATCATAAAGTTTGAAGATAATATACTTTTATAGACAGAATGAAAAAAATAATAATGACCTCTTCCTCAAGTCGACCATCACGCAAGGTAGGAGGTATCCCTGGGTGCTTGGCTATCAACAATTCCATCAAGTTATGGGTGGCATGAAGTCTCTACAAACGCATCAAAGGCAATAATTATGACAGTCAAATGCAGAAGACTCTGAAGAGAACCTAATATGAATAAGGCACACAGAACACTAACAGCACATTAAGAACATACCACTAAATACTTTTCTTATAAAACAATCTGAGTACTACTGCTTTGTTTTCTTTACTCAAGAGCAGGGTATTAAACGTCTAGGACCTGCCTTTTGTAACCCTTATCCATGTAGAATATAAGATTTATGGCCAGGAGTGGTGGCTCACACCTGTAATCCCAGCACTTTGGGAGGCCAAGATGGGCAGATCACGAGATCAGAAGATCGAGACCATTCAGGCTAACATGGTGAAACCCCGTCTCTACTAAAAATGCAAAATAAAATTAGCCAGATGTGGTGATGGATGCCTGTAGTCCCAGCTACTCGGGTGGCTGAGGCAGGAGAATTGTTTGAACCAAAGAGGTGGAGGTTGCAGTGAGCCGAGATCACACCACTGCACTACAGCCTGGGTGACAGAGGGAGACTCCATCTCAAAAAAAAAAAAAAAATATTCAATTTTTCCTCACCCTCCAATTTTCCATATGTTTCTCTAAAAACCCACTGTGGTACACTGGACATGCTACTCCCAAGTCTGAATGTTAATGACATCTTACCTGGGACTCAAGCCTAAACTTGCCAAAATTAATAAAACTATCTTTACTTCCTATTTAGCTAGAGAGCCTTGTCTATATGAGTCAATGACAGATTCAATAAGGGAAAGAGAAATAAGTGGTATAATTAAAATGTCCAAATCTCCCTAAAGAGCTCTAAAAATTATCATTAGGTAAATTTTATTACTTAGTTCCTTTTCTTATTAATGAAAACCATGTGAATAAATATGTTGATATTCATAAGCAAAAGTGATAAAACTGACCTACTCTTTCAAGTACCTGTATTTGGAGCTATTTTTAAATGTAGCTTACATTTAAAAATTTTTGTCAGGCTTGTGCCCAAAACTTCCCTGAATGGAACAGTAGTGATTCTCAAATGTTAGCGTATATACAAATCACTTAAAATGCTTATTGAGAAGATACAAATCACTTAAAATGCTTATTGAGAAGACTGAATCCCAAATTTCATCCTCAGTGATTATGACTATTTGTTACCATTTATCCTCTTAAATATTCAGAAAAATTATTTTGTTTAAAAAATAAAACAGAATGCATATGAAACTGTTTAGGGTTTACTTACTTGAAGTGAATCAGTTTTCAGCTTTCCTTTGTGTTCCTCTGAGGAGCGCAACACTTCTCTGTACAGCTCTGCTGCCAAGGCATACTCACCTAAAGAATTAAAATGTATTTAAAGTGTAAGAGAGTCACATATTTAGCTCCCAATGTCATCTAGTTGTCTATTATTTAAGAATACGGTAAACATATAACATAATGAATATAACTATTTTTTTAAGTAAAGCAATTTGACTTGGTATTAATATGATTGTCCTACTTTAAAAAAAAGCTGAATACAGTTCCTTTTTTAATTCCATGGAATATAATGTTCTTACATTACATTTGTAATGTTTTAAAATTATACTAAAATATGTTTATAATTAAACCTATTTGTAATGTTTTAAGATTATGCTACTGGATAAACTTTTAATTTAGACAAAAAAAAATTACCTCTTGATAAAATTAATGGGTGCCAATCAGTAGTAACTATGATGTTTGAAAATAAGGATAAATTTAAGGTAATTACAGATTATTTATAAACAAATATTTAAGACACTCCAACCAACCTACACATAATCATCAGAAAAATAATATACTATTCTTGATTGCTATTATTGTTCTTGGTATTAGGCCAAATAGTTTGTGATTAAAAGTTTCATGTCAAAAATTTAGGGATCGCCTCTCTACTTTTGGTCACACAAATCATAGTGAGTCTGAGATGTATGCTGTTTTCTGCTGTTCATAATTACCAGCTCATTCAAATATAGCAATTCAAAAAGTGTCAATTAAAGCACAGGCTGGCAAAGTATGACCCATGGATTATTTCTACCCTCTCTCTGCATTTCTATTGGGCCCATCAGCTTAAAATGAATTTCACATATTTAAATAGCTGAAAAAATTTCAAAAAAATATTTTGTGATGTGAAAATTAAACTTCAGGGTCCATAAGTAGTTTTATTAGAACCCAGCCCTGCTCATTTGTTTTGTACTGCCTGTGCTGCTGCTGTACTACAACAGCTGAGCTGATAGTTGCACAGAGATCTTATGACTTGCAATGCCTAAACTACTATCTGCTTCTTTACAGAGAAACCTTGATGATACCTCAACAGAAGGAGAGATGGACATTTTTAATTGATCTTCACTGCTGCTTGGAAAATTCAAACCAGGTAAATTATAAATACTATTAAAGTAAAAATCTAACAGTAGCAAAACCATGCAATCAATACCAAAAAAAGGTGTAGAAATGTTCTACTTATTTGCTGAGAAAATTTTTCCTAAGTATCACACATACTTGCTTTTAAAAAAACTTCAAGCTTGTCTTATGAATATCACATAATTAGGCCCATGTTCATAATTAAAATTATATATAGATAAAGCTCCTATATATGTGTATATAGATATAAACCTCATTTTATATATACGTATGCAAACCTTTATAAATTTCGAAGTTGCTTCTTTTTTTAGTTCATATGTAAGTATACATACATATCTTAACTTTGGTAAAATATACATAAGATTTACCACCTCAGCCTTTTTCAAGTGTGCAGTTCACTGGCATTATGTATATTCAGTGTTGTACAAAACACCTGATTTAAAAATTGTTTTTGAAACAATAGCTCTTATACCATTGCTTTATTTTTATTTTATTTTATTTTTTGAGACGGAGTTTTGCTTATTACCCAGGCTGGAGTGCAATGGCGTGATCTCGGCTCACCGCAACCTCTGCCTCCTGGGTTCAGGCAATTCTCCTGCCTCAGCCTCCTGAGTAGCTGGGATTACAGGCACGTGCCACCATGCCCAGCAAATTTTTTGTATTTTTAGTAGAGACGGGGTTTTACCATGTTGATGGTCTCAATCTCGACCTTGTAATCCACCCGCCTCGGCCTCCCAAAGTGCTGGGATTACAGGCTTGAGCCACCGCGCCTGGCCAATATTGCTTTATATCTAATTCTATTAGTCATCTAATACAAAGCTTTCTAAAACACACATTTTCAAACAACTGTAGAGTCAGCCAATTTCTATTTCCTTTAATAAGGGAGATTATTTTACAATAGTTACATCATAATATAGGCATTAATACTAAATTATCTTCACAGTGAGTTCTCTTTTTTAGTTGAGTCTTATTAAAGCTTTTCAAAAGACATTATGAAATCTGTCAGTATTTATACTATCATTTATAGAGAATAATTCATTAAACAATTTTCTCTTCATAACTACGATACCTTTTAAAGAAGGTATAGTGATTAGACTCTAATGTAAAGCAGGTGAATTTGATCTATTCACTATAATACTTGGTTTCCCATGTTTATTTTTAAAAAGGCATGTTTTCTGAGGAGGAAACAAAAATACTCATATTCAATATTACAAAGGTTTAAGTCAAATTTGGAAATACCCATTCTTGGCCACTTGGTGGTGCTAACATTTCTAAGTCAACTGTAGTGGATTTAATACTGCCAAACTAATTTTCTATAAAAACCATCTGGAGAAAACACATTGTTCAAAATTAGAATAATACAATGCATTTAATACCAGTCAAGGAGAATCTCAGAATATGTATTAATGTATCATATGTATTTATTCATATATAGTATGAGCAAATTTTTATAGTTTGAAATTTTTAGATTTCTTTTAAAAGGCAGACCTTCACTGTCTGATTTTCATATTAGAAGAATCTAATTTATATAAGTTACATATGTAATGTTACTTTAAAAAATGAATATTAACACATCACTATGAAGTTAATGAAAACTAAAAGCAAATCTATTACTCTTAGGTTGAAAATTACAATTAAATTCAGCAGAAACATATCTCTATTAATGGACTTTTGGCAGCATATTTCTCCCGGTAATCAGCAATTGTTTACTATAATTTCACACACAGAAAGAAAAGTGCAATGATGTAGCTTCTGTTATGCAACAGTGTAATATTTTGACATAGAAGCTTATTATAGTTTTACCCTGACAGGGTGCAACTGTGATGGGAAATAATCAGAGGAGGAACCCTTTTTCCTGGTCCTCATATTATACATAACTGCAGATCAGAGGAAAGTAAACATGAAAAGGGGACAAGAAGAAAAAGCCAAGGGAGGAAATTCACTCACTGTCTAAGCTTCTGAACCATAACAGAATAAAATGAGGAATGCAATTTTAAAATCGAGATGGGAAAGTTGAAATTTATTTTTATTATTGTGACAATCTACAGCTACTGTATTATCCCATTTCAAAAATTTTTGACTGAGTTTTAACCTACTATAGACAGCACAATATCGAGCTTCATGATAAAAACGTATTATTTGATTTGAAATAAAAAGATCCAGGGCACATTCTGTCAATTAACTAAAATCTCAAGAAAGCAACTAAGCTTTTCTGGAACTCAATTTCCTAAGTAAAATGTGGATAATACCTCAATCACTGGGCAGTTATAAGGATAAAATAGCATATATACATGAAAGTGTTATGTATAATGTAAAAATCTTATAAAAGAGTATTTCTCAGGTATAAAGCTACATTTTAATGATCTGAAAATATTTTAAATATATTCATTATTTATGTATTTTCAAGGACAAGAACACATTTCTCATCTGCAACAGTCAAGAAGTCTACTGAGTTTAATCATGACTATTCAATTAATTTGGCACTGGGAGAAACTGATATTAGATATGACACCTATTTTCCCAATTTTTGCCTAATTATTTCCACACTGATAAATAGAAAACAATTTTTAAAAAAAGCTCTATTAAAATAGTTGCCTTGTTAAGTTTTTCCCTATGGATTGTAGAGCAAAAATTTTTTTAGACTTTAGATTGATACCTAGACTATCACATAATAACAGGACATGATTAGCAACTGAGATGACCATGATGATAATGGTGATTAACTGTTAGAGAAAATGCAAACTTGCGAACGCTGCTAGCTAACTTGAGGACTTTCTAGGGAGTATCCTGGAGGGAAGATTTGCTCAGAAAGTAACATGTATTATATGTGAATAATTTAACAGGAATATATAATAATATGCCCTTTTCTATTACTAGTTATTGATAACAGAATTTACATTGTGAGCAGGTTGAAAGTGGTAAGAATCTAAGGTAACCTTCATACTACCATAACAATAGCATAATTATTCATCTGTATTTTTTATACAGTTTTCAATGTGCTTCCACATTTTGTATTAAGAACAGTAGTTGAAGGAAGTAAAGCACCAGTATATTTTATTGACAAAGACACAGAGGTTTGGAAATCTTGACCAATATACTCCATTTCACAGGGTTCCAACTGCAGCATGTAAGAAGGCCCATCTTTTTTAGTTCTTGTCTAGAGCTATTTCTACTCAGCTTCTGAGAATCCTTATAACTCTCTTCAAGTATCTAGCACAGTAAGAGTCACTTTCCATTTCTGGTTCTCTTAGGCTAAAGAGCTAACAACTAAAGACAGGCTACTCAACGAGGCTTAATGTAAGAATATTTCCTTATATTCTAAAAAAGCACACATTTCTTTGTGCAACTGATTTCTTTGTACTTTATCTGCTCTTTTTGAAATTTCTTAAGGTAGCAGCTGAAGTCTCCAATTTGAAGCTTTCTTTCCTAGTACATATCTAGTGCTATAAATTTCTTAATTACTGATATGCTGCCTCCACAAATTTTGATATTTCATTTTTATTCAACTCAAAATACCTCCTACCTTCCCTATTACTTTTTAACCCAAAGGTTTAAAAGTGTGTTACTGAATTTCAAAATATTTGGGGACTTTCCAGTTATCCTTCTATTATTGGTATCTACCACTGTGGGCATAGAACATATTCTGTAGGCATGAATCCTTTGAAATTTACTGACTTGTTTTATAGCCCAGAATATGCCCTATCTTGATATACATTTGACATGTACTTGAAAACAATGTGTATTCTTCTTTGGTTGGGTAAAGTATTCAATAAACACTGATTAGATATATTGGTGACAGTGTTGTTTGAGCTATGTATGTCCTCATTTATTTTCTACTTATTCTACACAACTGAGAAAGGGATGTAGAAATATCTGACAATAATTATTGTTTATTTCTCATTATAATTCTATCAGTTTTCAATATTTATTTTGAAACTCTTGTTTTAGGTACATTAATATTTAGAATTTTTTTCTCTAGTGATAAAGTAACATCCTTTATCGTTGATAATATTCTTTGCTCTGAAATCTACTTAAGAAGCTCCAGTGGTTAATCGGTTAGCAGGCAGTATTAATGAGAAATCTATTTTACTTAATAAGAATATAGTGGCTTTACCTTTCTTTTGATTAGTGTTAACATATCTTTTTTATCCTCTTATATTTACATCTTTAAATATAAAGCGGGCTTCTTATAGAGAACATATTGAGGATTATTGTTTTTTAATCCAGTCTGACAATCCAGGCCTCTTAATTGGGATATTAGACCGTTACATCTTATATGACCACTGATAAGCTGATCTACCATCTTGCATCATCTCATCTGTTTTTTGCCCCCTTTTTTTCCTTTTTGCTTTTTTTTTTAAGATTGAAGATTTTTAATTTTTTTTTTTGAAACAGAGTCTCACTTCGGTCACCAGGCTGGGGTGCAGCAGCATGACCTTGGCTCACTACAACCTCTGCCTACTGGGTTCAAGCGATTCTCTTGCCTCAGCCTCCCGAGTAGGTGGGACTACAGCGTGCACCAAAATACCCAGCTAATTTTTTTATTTTTAGTAGAGATGGTGTATCACCATGTTGGCCAGGATGGTCTTGATCTCCTGACCTTGTGATACGTCCACCATGGCCTCGCAAAGTGCTGGGAATACAGGCATAAGCCACGGTGCCCAGTCGATTTTTTATTATTACCTTCTCATCTACTCTTGGATTATTACCTCTAACTCCCTGTCGTATTCTGAAGTGGTGACTGTGTAGGATGCAAACTCTTTGCTTTGTAACAGTCTAAACTTCAGGTAATATTTTACCTCTTATTATATATCATCATAATCTTGCAACAGTATACATCCATGTTTCCCCAGACCTTTTGTTTTTGCATATTTATATCATCTACATGATATAAAACCCACAATATATTTCTTCCTGTTTTTCCTCTTTCGGAACTCCAACACATTTATATTAGGCCATCTGAAGTTGTCCACAACCTCACTGATGCTCTTTTCAAAATTTTCAGTCTTCACCTTTGTTTTTCATGTTGGCAAGTTTCTTTACTATTCTATACTTTGATTTTATTATTTTTTTCCTTAGGCAATATCTAACCTATTTATTAAGTGAATTTTTTATATTTGACATTGAAATTTCTAGAAGTTTGATTGCATGTTTCAAAGTTTCTACTTAACATGCTTAATCTATACTCTTGAACCCATGGAATACATTTTTAATGTTTCTCATATTTATATGGAAAGGTGTCTATATGGTATTTATTAAAAGTGCCAGTTATATAACTTCTGCTTCCAGCCAAGATAGACTAACACAGAATGGATTTACTGTCCTTCCTAATAAAACTACAATAACAGACAAAATACATGAAATGACAGTTTGTAAGATATTAGATATAACACACAAAAAAGTGATCCCTGAGAGATGGGGAAGCCACCAAGTAAATAACCTGTTTTATTTTTGTGCATAACATATAACACTATAACTTTACACACATACATTTTGTGTGTGTGTGGGAGGGTCAGTGTGTACTTGTCACCCTCTATAAGAATGTAAGTTCTGCAAGATCAGAGAGTTACTTTATTTACTGTATCACGGTTATGTAGATCAGGTGTGGCACACCAATATTTGCTGAAAAAATGATCCTAGAAACACTTATGATTTTTAAATCAATGAACAATAATTCCTTAAATGTGTCAAAATTTAAACATTCTTCCATTTCTAACCATGCTGGTTGTTTACATTTGTTTACTGTTAAAGACTAAGATGAACAACTTAAAAACACATCTTTGTATCCTCATTTCCTTAAAAAAGATCTTCTAGAGGCCAGGTGCAGTGGTTCACGCCTGTAATCTCAGCACTCTGGAATGCCTAGGCAGGCAGATCCTGAGGTCAGGAGATCTAGACAATCCTGGCCAACACAGTGAAACTCTGTCTCTATGAAAACACAAAAAAATAGCTGAGCATGGTGGTAGGTGCCTGTAGTCCTAGCTACTCGGTGGGGGCTGAGGTAGGAGGATTGCTTGAACCCAGAATATTAGACCTAAGAGGTTGCAGTGAGCCAAGACTGTACCACTACACTCCAGTCTGGTGACAGAGCAAGACTCTAATCTAAAAAAAAAAAAAAAAAACTTTTCTAAAAATGGAAATAAATCATATGTAAACTTTGAAGGTTTTTGAAATGTTCTATGAAACTGCTCTGTATTAAGTTGAACCTATTTAAACTATAATCAGTAGAGTGTGAGAGTATCTTTTTGGGGAGGATTTTGACTTTTTCTATAATTAACCTTCCTCAGGAAGTGTTTGGAAGAATCAGAAATAACAAAGTAATCACCTTCTACCTTTAATAATATGAATGCCTGCTAAGCCATTGAGGGCACAAACTAGCTGTCGATGGGCTTCTTCACATTCAGTCCCACATTTCTTCTGCAAAGATGTCAGCAGCTCTTCCATTGTCATGGTGCTAAAAGAAAAAGCAAACTGTTCAAAACTAGAAAGAAAATCCCAAGTGTTACTTCAGTGGAAGTGTTACATCACACATCATCAAGAGTATGAGAGTCTTATAATCTTTATGAGATCTCTAGCATTTTTTTTGCCTCCATTTTTACCATTATTTTTTCCCACATAAGCACCTCTATTTGATCACATCATTCTTTGAGTTTTTCCCATTTCAGTAAAGGGAGAATGGAACTATAAAAATCTTACTCAAGTACAAAGTACAACATGATATATCTGAAACATTAAAATGTAAGACTGATTCTGAAACCCAGCACTGCAATGTAATTGAAAAACCTCTTTGAGTCTGAATATTTTTCTTTTTTTTTTTTTAAATTTTTTTATTTTACTTTTTTTTAAAGACGGGGTTTCACCATGTTGGTCAGGCTGGTCTTGAACTCCTGACCTCAGGGGATCCACCATGCCTGGCCTGAGCCTGAATATTTTTTTAATCAGTAAAAAATGAAGATCCTCTAAGGATCAGGTTAAATGCCCTTTGCACCAAAAGGCTGTCTAACCTTAACCTTTCAAATATAGTTTCCAAACTCTAAATGTACACAGCAAATTTACATTTTCACTTCATATTTTAGAAATGTGTAATTTCTGCCATTCCCTTTATTTGTCTATAACCTGCTTAAAAGCAAAGATAAAATTGAATCCTCTTATCTATATAACCAAAGGGCAGTTCCTGAGTTGCAGTCTGACTCACAAAAAGGTTCTGGGACAATAGAGTATTATGAACACAAACTTCTTAATGTTCTCAGAATGAATAATCAGAGAGACAGAAAATATTTCATGGTAATCTAATTCCCTGATGTGGGAACTATGAAATAAGAATAAAAGCCTTTCATATCTGGAGTATGCCAAAACGCTAATAAAATAATAATTTAAAAAACCTCAACAATCATCCTAATTTTAACAGAAGTATTTAAGACCAAGTGTGGTGGTTAATGCCTGTCAACTCAAAAATTTGGGAGGCTGCAACAGGAGGACTGCTTGGGGCCAGGTGTTCAGCATTAGCTCAGGCAACATAGCGAGGCCCCATCTCTAAAAGACATGTAACAGGCTGGGCAGTGTCTCATACCTGTAATCCCAGCACTTTGGGAGGTTGAGGGAGGTAGATTGCCTGAGGTCAGGAATTCGAACTAGCCTGATCAACAGAATGAAATCCCACCTCTACTAAAAATATAAAATCAAATCCAAGATGGCTGATCGCTAACATCTCGGGACTGCAGCTCCCAGTGAAAGCGAAGAGAACTAGAAGACGCCACACTTTCAGACAAATTTTTATCGCTCATGGAGCAGAAGATTCCCAGTGGAGGAGCCCCATGGATCGCCAGCATGACTCTTCTGGCCAGCGCAGCAGTTTTGCCGGCACCTCGGCGTGGAAGCCCTTGGTGCAGAGTAAACGGGACTGGTTCCCTTGCTGACCGACATTTGGAGCTCTGGGAAGGCAGAGTCGCCTATTATGGACTCAAGAAGGAAGCCAGGCTGGAGATTCCTGGGCAGAAAAGCACCATCAGTCTTAATGCTGCTGTTTTGGCCAGCGGAGTGGGTTGCTCATATTTCAGCCCTGGGAATTAACAACTTGGACATCCACTCGGAGACCTAATTTGAAAGTTGGTAATTGCAAAGAGGACAGGTGAATAAATTTACAATGATGGGAAGAAAAAAGGCTGAGAATACTCAAAATCAGAATGCCTCTCCCTCTAAAGAGGATCACAATTCCTCATCAACAAGGGAACAAGGCTTGATGGAGAACGAGTGCATCCCATTAACAGAATCAGGCTTCAGAAGATGGATAATAAGAAACTTCTGTGAGTTAAAAGAACATGTTGTAGCCCAATGTAAAGAAACTAAGAACTTTGAAAAAGGTTTGACAAAATCCTAATGAGAATAGACAATTTAGAGAGGAATATAAGTGAATTAATGGAACTGAAGAATACAATACAGGAACTCCGAGAAGTATGCACAGGTTTAAACACTCGAATTGATCAAGCAGAAGAAAGGATATCAGAGGTCGAAGACCAACTTAATGAAATAAAACGAGAAGACAAGATTAGAGAAAAAAGGATAAAAAGGAATGAACCAAGTCTCCAAGAAATGTGGGACTATGTGAAAAGATCAAATGTACGTTTGATAGGTGTACCTGAATGCGACGGAGAGAATGAATCCAAGCTGGAAAATATTCTTCAGGAAAATTTTCCTAACCTAGCAAAGCAGGACAATATCCAACCCCAGGTAATACAGAGAACACCACAAAGATATTCCTCAAGAAGAGCAACCTCAAGGCACATAATCGTTAGATTCACCAGGGTTGAAACAAAGAAGAAAATACTAAGGGCAGCCAGAGAGAAAGGTCAGGTTACCCACAAAGGGAAGCCTTACAGCAGATCTCTCAGCAGAAAATCTACAAGCCAGAAGAGAGTGGGGACCAATAGTCAACATCCTTAAAGAACAGAACTTTCAGCCCAGAATTTCATATCCAGCCAAACTAAGCTTCACAACTGAAGGAAAAATAAAATCTTTTATGAACAAGAAAGTACTCAGAGATTTTATTACCACCAGGCCTGCTTTACAAGAGCTTCTGAAAGAAGCATTACATATAAAAAGAAACAACCACTATTAGCCTTTCTAAAAATATACCAAAAAGTAAAGAGCATCAACATAAAGAAGAATTTACATCAACGAATGGATAAAACAGCCAGTTAACATCAAATGGCAGTAATCCTATATTTAAATCGACTAAATCCCCCAATCAAAAGATACAGCCAAAACTCAACAGTATGCTACATCCAGACCCATTTCACATGCAAGGATACACAAAGACTCAAAACAAAGGGATGGAGAAAGATTTACCAACCAAATGGAGAGCAAAAATAAATAAAAAGCAGGAGTTGCAGTTCTCGTATCTGATAAATAGATTTTAAAGCAACAAAGATACAGTGGTAAAAGGATCAATGCAACAATAAGAGCTAACGATCCTAACACCCAGATACATAGAGCCTTAGACTCAATGAGACAGAAAATTAATAAGGATATCCAGAACTCGAACTCAGATCAGGAACAAGTAAACTTAATAAATATTTATAGAGCTCTCCACTTTAAATACACAAAATATATATTCTTGTCAATACCACATCATACCTACTCATAGGTTTAAATGAAATATTGATTGGCCATTATTAATACCCATTTTTTTAAGAATAAAGCAACATTTCCGTTCTCTCTCCCTCTTTTTCTTCCTCTCCTTCACTTCTTTTTTCTTTCCTTCTCTCAAAAAAAAAAATAAAATAAAAAAATAAAGGAATCAACTTGTAGACCTCTAGATCTAGGTTGGCAATGTCTCTCTCATTGCCTGATTTCCTTCCTTTCCTTCTCTCCCTCCCTCCCTCCCTCCCTTTCTTCCTCCCTCCCTCCCTTCCTCCTTTCCTACCAAAAAAAAAAAGTATATATATATGTATATATATACATATTTTTTTATATATTTTTTATATTTTTATATATTTTATATATTTTTTAATATATTTTTATGTATATATAAAATCAGCCAGGCGTGGTGGCACATGTCTATAATCCCAGCTACTTGGAAGGCTGGGCAGAAGAACCACTGGCACCTGGGAGGTGGAGATTGCAGTGAACCAAGATTGTGCCACTGCACTCCAGCCTAGGTGACAAGAGCAATTCTGTCTCAAAACAAACAAACAAAAACAAAAAAACCCCCACACAAACATAAAAATTAGCTGGCTGTAGTGGTTGTACTTATAGTCTTAGGTACTTGAGAGGCTAAAGCAGAAGGATCATTTGAGCCCAGGAATTTGAGGCTGCCACTGTGAGCTATGATCACACCACTGCACTCCAGTTGGAAAGAGAGTGAGATTCTGTCTTGAAAAAGTATCAAAAAACAAAAAAACCCACTGTAAAAGAGAAATGCTCAAAACCATGAAAATAATTATTTTGATGATATAATTTTCCATTGCAAATGAGGTTCCATAAAAAAGAAAACCCTCACAATATTAAAAATAACTGACAACTCAGTTACATGACTCTGAATGAAACTGTGGGCCAGAAATATTATCTATTATATCAACTGCAATATAAAAAAGTTGATAATAAAACCTTTTCTGAAGTGGCAAGAACTCCCCACGAACAGCCTGTGGGTGGCAGCAGGCCTGTCTGAGTCTCAGCAATGGATACAGAATAGAGGTGACGGTTCTTCTGTCCAGGCTGCTGAGCTTCAGAGCCCAGTCAGAAATCTTCCTGAGTTTTACCACTGCATCCTGGCAGCACACCTCATGCTGACGGTGATAGAAATGCCTTTCTACTGGAGAAAAGTGAAGCCAGTGTATTTCTTCAGTTTGTGGTGGTATTTGGATCTGTAAAAAGGAACAGAAAAAAGATTTCACCTAAAAATTTAACTTTCATCCCAATTGTTTCTTTTCTCTCATAGTACCTTTATCAATAAAAACTTATTGTACTGACTTGGTCAATCACATCTTTCTTTGCCGACCTCCACAGTATCTTGGCAATAAAGCTGTAGAGATGCTGAGGATTCTTCTTGCAGTAAGGCCGATAGAGAAGTCGAACCCACCAGTGTTTGACACAGTAAGGTTCAATACCAAGAAAGACCACTAACCCAAAAAGATCTGAAAAGAGAAAAAGAAAGTAAACTGAGAATAACTCTATTACTTCATTACTATTTTGCAGAAGCATTTCTACAGACATTACACAGCACATAAACCTTCCATGAATTAAAATGCAGATTGTATAGGCTCTTAAATCTGAAATTCAATTCCAATTCCATTTATATTTATTGAGCATCTATTCTGCCCTAGGTTGTTTGCTAGATGCTAAAATACTGTTAGGTTTATGAAAGCATTACACAAAACTTATACTTAATTCAAAAATCTGAAATCTCCATCAGAAATTAAACCAAAAGCCACTCAAGTGAATGTGTATGGAAAAGACATACATAAGAAATACCATCCTCTGAAACCAAGGGATGCAAGACTTGCTGGATCAGGAAAAAAAAATTTCTAATCACACAGATAACATGAAGAATATTCTCTGATGCAATATTCCTCATATCTTTATCTAACAATTCTTCTCCTAGAAAAGCCTAAGATAATAGTAAAAATGTAAATAAGATTTACTTACATGGTGATATTCATAGCAACAATATGTAGCATAAGAATGACTCAAAGAAATAAATTATGGTAATCCCATAAAATAGAACTATTTTTCTTTTCTGATTCATCATGCCTTGTATTTGTTAGCTTCAGAGCATGGGACTTCTTGTGTATCTCTTTACTGGGCACACTCAATTTTATATTTTATTCGCCCAGCCCCACCCACCCCACATAACATACCCAAAAAAGTTTTTCATATATTTATTTGTGATGCCTTAGACAAGGTGTTCCTGTTGCCCAGGGTGGAGTGCAGTTGCACCATCTCAACTCACTGCAGTCTCAACATCCTGGGCTCAAGTGATCCTCCTACCTCAACCTCCCGAGTAGCTGAGATCACAGGTGTGCACATACACCATGCCTTGATAGTTTTTTTAAATTTTCTGTAGAGACAGGGTTTCCCTATGTTGCCCAGGCTGATCTCCAACTCCTGGGCTCAAGTGATTCTCCTGCCTCAGCCTCTCAAAGTGCTGGGATTACAGGTGTGAGCCACTATGCCTGGCTTGTAATTTTCTTTATACTTTTCTGTACAGTTTAGATTTTTTCAAAATGGGCATATATTCTCTTTAGAAGCCATGAAACAATAATAAAAATATCCTTACCACACCTATAACACCTATTCTGAAGATGATCAACAAATATTTAGAATGAATTAAGTTACCATGATGTTTGCTGGGAGTTAGTAACATCTGAAAGAACCAATGCATCACTGCTATGCAAAGGTCCACAGATTTATATTTAGCTCAGATCAACTGAACTGCTATATGCTACCTCTTCTTTGAGGTCCCAGAGCCATCTCAAACGGAACTTGCCAAAATCTCAAATTCATAATTTTTTGTACAAACATGCTACTTTTCTGGTAGTATTCACTAGGGAAACCAGTCACCATTCATGGATTTATGCGAGTCAGAAATCTTGGTATCTCCTAATCTGTCAATGAGGCTTGTTAATTTTGCTCTATCTACTTTTTTTCTGTATCTTTAGGATATACCTAGGCCAAATCAAAAGTGCCAGCACCACTTGCCTAGATTACTTCTTACAGACAACTGACATCCTAACATCCACTCTTTCCTCTTCTAAACCACTCTCCACACTGCAAGAAGAGTGATCTTTAAAAATACAAATCTAACCATAAGATGACCCCCAACCACTGTTTTTACATTGTTTCAATAGCTCCTTCTGTTCCTAAGGAAAAAAAAAAATTCTTTAACATGGCAAACAGCATCCTCCATAGTCCCATCTCTACCCACCTAGTCTCTCGATGCACCATTGTCTCCCTAGCTCTTTATGCTTCTAGCCACAATGATACTATGTCTGCCACGATACATTCAAATTATATTTTGTTTCCTCTACAATAGAGCATTTTTTCCTTCCCTCTTTACCTAGCATATGTTCGTGTTTCAGATCACAGCCCAGTCGTCAGTTCCTTCCGCATCCCGATTGTGTCATGCTATAGAACCAGATTTTTTTTTAATGAAACCTATTAGAGTCAGAATTTTCCTTTTTTTCTTTTGTGAAAGTTATCTCAATTGCCATTTAATATTTATGTATGTATTTAAGAAATATTTTAAGAAATATATGTTTCGCTCTAAGCTGTAAGCTTAACAGATCAGGGATCGTATCTACTTTTGCTCATGATCCGCTATGGTTTTAATGTATCCTCCAAAGTTCATGTGTTAGAAACTTAATTTCCAATGAACAGTATTAGGAGGTGGGGCCTAGTAAGATGTGACTTGGTCATGAGCATGGAACCCTCAGGAGTGGATTAATGTCATTATTGTGGGAGCCGGTTAGCTATCTCAAGGGTGGTTTGTTATAAACCGAGTCCAGCCCCTGGTGCTTCTCTGTATCTCATGTACTCCTTCCATCTTCCACCTTCCATCATGGGATGATCCTTGCCAGCTGCCAGTGTCATGCTCTTAGATGTCCCAGCCTCTAGAATCGTGAGTTAAATAGGCTTCCCTTTTTTGTAGTTATCTAGTCTGTGGTATCCTAAAAGCAAAAATCTGTTAAGACTCTATCCTATCTCACAAAGAAATAAATGAAATACATAAATAATAATACATGAAATAATAAATGCATCACAAGGTACTTATTTAACTCTGACACTTTCAAAGACACTAAAATAGGTAAATGACTACATAAACGAAAAATAAAAACAAAAGCAGAAGTAGAAGCAGCTATCATTCATTGAATATTTAATATTTGCTAAGTACTGTGCTAAATCCTTTGTAAACTTTATTATAATTACTCTTTAAAACACCTTATTTTATAGATAAGAAAAATAAGGACTTACATGTTTAAGGAATTTATTTATGGACACACAACTAATAAGTCAGGATATAATATAACCCAGGTTTATATATTCCCCAAAGCCAATGCTTTCTGTATTATACAAATAAATACGTTATATAGACAAAGGGTTGGGGGGGTAGAAGGAGTAGAGGTGTTCTTCCATATTTGACATTCCAAGTAGAGGACATTATTTCAGTCTGGCAATTTCTAGAGACATTTCTGGGTGTCAGAATTGTAGGAGTGCTACCAGCCATCTAGTGGGTAGAAGCTAACACCCTAAAACATATGGGACAGTTCCCAAAGAAAAAGAATTATCAGTTAGCTGGGCATGGTGGCGCATGCCTGTAATCCCAGCTACTTGGGAGGCTGAGGCAGGAGAACTGCCTGAACCCAGGAGGCGGAGGTTGCAGTGAGCTGAGAACTCGCCATTGCAATCCAGCCTGGGTAACAAGAGCGAAACTCCGTCTCAAAAAAAAAAAGAAAAAGAATTATCTGGCCCCAAATGTCAATAGGGCCAATGTTGAGAAACCCTAGTTTAACATAAAAAGTAAACATATGAGACTTCCATGTCCAAATAAAACACAGTAAGTCATGAGCAGACTAACATTTCCAGTGTGACAACTAGAAATAAACCATTTAATTGCAAGAATCATAAAGATACCAGAGATATGGAAGCAAGGGGAAAAGACAAAATTCTAGAAAGTCTAGAAAAGCTCTTTTGGAGCTGACTTGGAATATGAGGAAAACTTACCTAGTGCAAATATATTCATGGCTATGCATGCATATAAAAATTTTCAAAGGTGATATTTTAAATGGTTACATTATATGTCATTTATACCTCAATAAAGTTTAAATAGCTTAATAAAGCTGGTTTTCAAAAAATTACTCAAGAATTTGCTGAATGGTGACAGGGGCTCAAAACACTTGTCAACATCTTACATCTCCAAAAAATCTATCTAGGGAACTAAGAAATTATTGCTCATATTCTTTCAACATTAAAATTAGAAAAAGTAACTCTGATAGTCATGTACTCTTTTCTATACTCTCTCAGCTAACTTTTGAGCTGGGTAAGATCTTATATCTTATTAAGGCCTAAATATCTATAATTTTGACAGTTTCAAAATTCTAAATATTTTAAAATATTTCATGTTTAAAAAAACATGAAAGGAGACCAGTAAATGTGGTACTTTACTAAACCTAATATTATTCTATAAATATGTACCTAAATGTAGCATTTAAGTTATGCAGATATTTAAATATATACTAGAAAATATTACTAGAAAACCTTTCCCTCCTAAAAATAATCATTGGAAAACACTGCTTTTAGAGGTCTAAGTAATGGATGCTGATATTTTTGCTTTTAGTGGAATAAGTTATCCTGCTGAAAACAAACATACAAAAACTTGGATTTTCAGAAAGATACGTTTTAAAGATGAATCTTTACTATGGAACTTCCAAGTATATTTAAATTTTGTAATTTAACTACATTTTTATAACAGCTTTTAGAGAAATATATAAAACAAGATTTAGTTAAACTTTTCATTTTAGATATTCACAACTTGAATACAGGTTTTAGAAACGTAGTGTCTGTTCTATGGAAAAAGCGACAATAACATTAACACAGAGGGATCATTTCAATGTATGTGTGGAGAGGAGGGAAAAACTAGACACAATCTAAATGTCCAAGAAGGAGAATGGTTCAAGGAATAATGGTATACACATGTAGTGTGACATTATGAGGCCACTAGTAACTTTTATAATTACTAAAATTATGGTCCTAGTATTCATGGGTTCACGCAATAAAAACTACAGTCTCCATTTTTATAGACACAGTCAATTGAAATTAATTCCCTTTCTCCCTTATTCTGCCTCTCCTCCTTCCCCGCTCCAGCCTTTGTTTCTTTCTGGTTAGATTCTTTCTGTTTTCAACCTATGACTTTGGAACTCTAATTCAAACTATATCTATGCTGTTTAGGCAGGTACAATAATTGCTCAACTTAAGGCAATGAGACCTCTTACTATGTATCTGTCCCGATATACAAAAACAGAAAAATCACCTGAGATCCATTTAAATGATATGCTTGAAACTATTAGGTCAACTATAAAGACATGATTCATCACTTCAGTAAGGATTGCAGCAAAGATTAAGCATAACAATACCTTTTTCTCAAAAAATGAAGCTTTTCAAAAGCATGCAATATGTGAGGAAACCATACATTACCCTCTAATCCTCTCTGTACTGGAGTGCCACTGATACACCACCGATTAATCCCACTCAAACGCTGGGCCATTTCTGCAGCCTGATGAGAGAAAAATGAAATAAAACAAAACCCAGAAAACCACAGAAAGAGCACAGAAGTCAGGTATACTCATGAAAATAACAGCCCACTGAAAGCTTTACTTCTGCTGAGATGTACCTGCTTTTATTTAAGAGTTATCACATTCAATGTTATTATTCAATATAATTGATATTGAATAATATCAATTATTCAATGAATCAATATATTCAATGGTCCATTGAATATGACATTATATTGAATAATATTATGTCATATTCAATGGACCATCTTCTATCACAGTGGTTCTCATTAGTGGGAGGCTGCCACACAGTCCCCTAAAATAGAGGGGTAGTTCAAATACCTATAGAATGAAAAAGCCCCTGAAAAAAACTGATCCATGACCTGCATCACTCTATCCTCCAGATATGCTAATAGATATGATTCATACATTCAGTTCAGGTTCTAGACTGGCCCAAGACTGCAGAATAAAGTCATATGACACTCAAAGGCTCAATCAAAATTCTGTCCTCTAAAGAAGGATTTTCTATTACCATTTGGCCTCTGATTTAAAAAACTGTTAAAGTCAACTTTGGCGCAAAGCTATCAGAGGTTACATGATGAGCTCCCAGTTAGCAGAAATACTTATAAAAGTTCCTAAATGCAGTTTACTTGATCTGCATCATACATAAAGAGACATCTTACTGAAAAATATGTATTTCATATAGAGCAATGATTCACAGAGTACAAAACTAATTTCAAAGGGTTATGTAGTTCATAGCACAAGAGAAAAGCACGAGTAGTGTTTAACAACAAAGTTTTGACCAATATCAGTCCTACAGGTTAACTATACTTAAACTATTAAACTATTCAAGTTCCCCTAATTCTTTTTCCCCCTTCTTCCCCAGCCCTCAAAAGATTTTGCAGAAACTCTCACTTTTACTGCAGGACATTCAACCATCTGAGCTTCATCAAGGCAAATCCTCCACCACTCCACAGCTACTAGGGGGCTTGGGATGGCCATATAGCGCTTCTGGTTCCGTAGGCGACGTCCATCCTCACTATTGCTATGTGGAATATCGACATAATTTAATTCTGAACGAAGTACATCATAGGTGATGATAACTATATCCTGTTCTGCCAAAAAATGAGGTTGTAAAAAGCCATCTTTCTTCACTCCTTGATATACCTAGGAAATAATCAATATAGGCAGTTATTGCAAAAAGGCTCACTAAAAACAATAAAATATTCACTCATTTATACTCTTACTCAGTCCTCGCTATTTTCTGAGGAGCATTCATGCTATGAGACAGGTCCCATACCTGTTTAGAGAAAGATACGTTTTAGTGTGGAAGATGAATTACATAACCAACGTGCAAGAAACTGTAATAAACATAAACATGACAGCATCACTGTGAAAAGACCAACTCCGTAGCAGAGAAGGTGAAATCACAGAGGACTTAAAACTTGGGGTGTTTCAAAAAGGTTCTCATAGGTGGCAAAAAGAGAAAAGGGCTGTATGTAGGTAGGAGGATGGAATCAATCGCATATGTGAAAGCACAATGGTATGAAAAACTAGAATAAGAGCTATTATTTATGAAATGTCTTTTATGTTTCAGATACTGAGCTAAGCACTATCTCCAAACTTCAAGAATAATTCTGTTGCTAGTGTTAATATTTCCATCCCACACATAAGAAAAATAAAGTGACTTGCTCAAAACTGACAGAACTAAGACTCAAAGGTCTGCCTATCCACACAGAACAGAGCTTCTTAACAGTAGAAATTGTTTTACTTATTACTGTATTCTCCATGCCTATGTAGAGTGGATGAAATATAACAACCTTCAGTAACATTTGCATGGAAAGAAGAAAGAATGAAAGTGAAGAGTATTAATATTAGGAAACGGTAACATTACTATGTGCCCAGTAATTTAGGAAGTCATACTTGCTGGATACTACTTTTAAAACTCAACACAGTTCCTGGCACATAACAGATAGTCAATAAAGATTTGCTGTATAAGTAAATTCTTATTTTACAGCTGAGGTAACTGAAGCTTCAGAGGATGATTCTGGAGCTAAGAGATGGCAGATCAAGTAAGTAGCTCCTGTTACACAGTGCTGTTTTGGATTACATTTCTCTCTGAAGATTATAAATGCTTATACCAAGATTTTTTCATTTACATAATCAAGAATTTTTAAAGTTTTCACATTTTTATGTTCAAAATGCTTTAAGGCTGAAATTCTGATGTTAGAAAATAACACCATACTATTTCTTAGCCTCAATTTTTTTCTTTAAGCTTTGATTTGACATTACTATTAAATCATTCAGTTAGTTTTAAGGATAAACAACAAAGAAACAAAGATGAGAAAACTATCATGAAGAAACAACACTTTATATTTCCTCTCCCTCTTTAGTCCACAGTGGCCTTACCAAGACTCGAAGAGACGATGACCTCACATGCCTGTTGATCTCATCTACCCACTGGTGACAGATAGAACTTGGGGATATGATCAGAGTTGCTCTTGTTGATACCAGCTCCATTGCAACAAGGCAGTGGGGGCAGTAAAAAGGCTTGATCTTCAGATTTTTCTCATCATAATTCACACACTTTGCGTGCTGCCATAGGTGACACTTCAGGCACTGAACACGAGGTTTACGATCTATCTGATCAAGTTCACCACATATGCACTCAAAGCGATAATCAGAGGTGTTAAAGGGACTCATGATATTAGAAAGTGGCACATCGCTATCAGCAGGATTTAGAGATTGGGCACAGTCCTCTGTTTCAAGTTCTTGGTTGAATTCAGATATACATGTACTTTTAGACATAGCAACATCAGTTATTCCAGAGTCACTAGTAGCTGGACAGTGGCCTCGTGTATTGGGATTGGTAAAAGATTGACTTTTTCCTTTTTTTGTGGATGGAACAGGCTTTTTCCTCAATTTACTACGATTTCTCCGGGACTTATAATAATAATAGTAAGGATCATCATCATCATCATCATCAGAGGTGTTTGACGGCAAGTATTCAGAATCTGTGTCCTTGTTCCCTGATTTTCTAGATTCTTTCTGAGTTTTCCTTGGACTCCCTAATGCCTATGAGAAAAATAATTAATGAATTAATTTCAACATAGTTGCATTTCTGAAATTAAACTCCCGAATTTATGTAAGCATTTTATATAAAAATCTGGCAGCCATTCTTTGCTACCCTTTTCCCTGAGGAGAATCATTCCTGATAAGTGGCTTTCAATCTGCCCTCTGTAAGGACCCTCACTTTAGTCTGCAGATCTCAAAACAAAAGGAAGGCTCTACAAGTGCACAAGATCTGGAGAGATGAAAGATTAGAAAGATAAAGGAAGCTACTGATGTTTTGTTATTAATCTACTATGATTTATAGTCTGCCTCAATCAATACAAGACTAGTACTTTTGAGTACATACATATACAAATTAGGGCAATTACAAAAATACCAAGTACTAAAATATAGCATCCAAAGAAAGTAAAAGATAATGCAATGGTTACTGCAATTAGCAAATAGATTCCTTTTTTCCTTCCCCTTTCTACCTGTGTCCACTCTTGCAATTATAAACAGTTATATAACATAGAGGGAATATAATAGGCAGGTAGGTAATAGGGACAGCTTCCTCCAAGAGATATCAGAACTGACGTCGAATAGAGGAGTTAAGATACAACATGTAATCAATGGCATTAACTGAGGGCAATTTTCTAGTTTTGGTGGCAGCAGGGTTACCAAAAGCACAGTTCATTGCTGTCTTCTATGCTACCTGAGGATAATACCATAGACTCCCTACTCCAGGAAATGAATTTTTTGTCCTTTTCATGATGGCCAAGTTGGTAGCTCCACATTTTAACTTGTTGTTAAGTCTTTATTTATGTCTGCAAATATTATAACTATTTCCTAAAAGCAAATTGAAATTACTGGCCCAACAGAAGCAGTTTTCTATCAAAATGCAGGAATTTTTTAAAGTTAATAATATAAGGAAAATGTTAATTTATATAAAAAATTTGAAATTATGTAACATGCAATGCAAATTTAAGGTATTATTTTTGAAATGTGGAACAAACTTTTTAACTGCTGACAGCAGCATAAGAATACATAAGGCCAGGCTTGTGGTGGCTCATGCCTGTAATTCTAATCGATGCTTTGGGAGGCTGAGGAAAGATGAACACCGAGGCCATCAGTTGAAGAACAGCCTGGGCAAAACAGTGAGACCCCCATCTCTACAAAAAACAAGATAAAGTCACCAGGCATGGTGGCCTGTAGTCCTAACTACTTGGGAGGCTAAGGCAAGATGACAGCTTGAGCACAGGAGTTCAATGCTGCAGTTAGCTATTGAGGGACTGTGTTAAGGAAAAAAACTTCTCTTCCCGAGTCCACGAGGGGCATGGTTTCAAAGGCAGGAGCTTCCCAGCACCACGCCTCCATCCACACCCCAATCTGGAAGGTAAAGTTCTTTGTCTAACTTTCCCCCACGAGGGCTGGGTGGAAGATCCAGGTGACCTTCTTTGCTCAAAAAGCCTGCTGAAAACTCTGGGAAGAGGCGGTTCTGTTGTAGACCAAGTAGCCAATCTGGTATCAGAGTCAAAGACGAATCACTCCAGAGGAAGTCTGAAAAAACTCCTCTCAATGGACAAGAACATTAACGGGGAGGGAATAACTCAGGGTTAACCAAGCCCGATGCTCCTTACCTGTATAAATACCTCCCTTGTATCCCCACCCATGGCAGCATGGGAACGGCCTCTCTTTTTTTCTCTCTCTACCTAGTAAATTGCTCTCTGCAAAACTCTTTGGCTCCACGATATTTATTAGAACAATAAGCTCACCGCGCCTCCGGGGCCCCTTTCCCTGCTCTTGGGGTAAGAGAGGCCAAGAACCTGGGCACATCAGGGAACTGGAAGCATTTGGGAATCCCTGGCTCCCTCCCCTGGCTACACTATGACCACTGCATTCTAGCCAGGGCAATAGACAGATGCCCTGTCTCTAAAAAAAAAAATAATAAAAATAAACAATACAGAAGATGCTTTAGACTCTTATGATACGCTTAGCCAACAAATTTTATAATTCAATCAAAAGTATCTGAGTATTTTTTATGTGCCAAGCACTATTCTCTAGGTTTAATGATAACCAAAATAAAGTTACTCTCATAAAGTTTATAACCACAAAGAAGAAAATATGAGTTACAGATACAAGTACTTTTCCTAAAAATTTTGTTTTTTATCTTCAGATTGTAAGAGTTTCAGAATCAAGGTGGGATCTGTCAACACACTTGCTATCATATACATGCAGTTAATATTGAGCTTAACTCAAACTCTGTTACCTGCTTTTTTGTTTTATCACATATATCCTCTTCCTTGTAATTCTTTCCCAATGTAAAAGTCCCAGAGAAACCATGGCCTTTGATCTGTTTCACAAGACCTTCGAAAATTAAACATTTCAGCATCCGTTTCAAAAGACTCCTGTTCCGCTGAACATCGTATCTGTATATAGAACTGACATACTTATAGATGGAAAGGATGGACACTCCTTTTTTTCCATTCAGTTCTTTCACAGCTGTCAGGATCATCACACGTGTAGCTAAATATAAAAGGATATGCTAACTCAGTCAAAATAATTAAAATGAAAAGAAAGTAAAACTTGGTTAATCTTAATCTGCATGAAGACTGGGTTAAGAAAAAAAATAAAAGATTTATTACAGTGTAGTGCCATTTTGAAAAATATATAATAAAAATGTATCTTGGCACATTAAGAAACAAATTACTGTACCAGAAATAATTGAAGGAAGAATTACTCATATTCAATTGTTAATACTACAAAACAACAATCATTCAAAATTATAAAAGAAAACCTCACCATTATTTAAGAATCCTCTCATAATTATTAGTATGAGAAACATTCATTTGCTAAAAGATAAACAAAGCTTGGTTTAAATTGTAACCTAAAGAAATTTAAATGTAACAGACTGAGCAAGAACTACCTGGACCAAGTCAAATGAAAGAATGTATCTTCACTTTTGTTAAGATATTATGACATGTAATTGAATTCATTTATGAAAGCATATATAACTGTAAAAACAATTATTCATAACAATTACAAGATATCTCTAAGGATTGCAAGAACTTTAGCAAAGATCACTCTAAGAAGGTATTTCCTTTAAGATATTTCATACTTACGAGGGCACTGAACTTTTTCTTTTGGTTCAAATTCGATATTATGGGTTTCTGTCTCTTTCGCTTTTCCTCCAAAATAATGTGATGGAATAAAATAATTCACCACTTTTCCCTGATATAAACAACATTCAGTAGTTACAAAGTGTTTTGCTTTCAGTGTTCTTAATTGCTTACTGAAATTAACTTTCCTTCTTTATCGAAATGCAAAACAGTTGTTATAAAAAAAACTGCAAGAGAAAGGGCCAAATATGCTGTAGATATATACATACCTTTTTTTATTTCTGAGCTTATAGCTAGAAATCACTTATCTTAAATTACCAAAATGTTATGTGTGGAACCTCTGAAATTAATTTTTAAAGGTATATTTAAATATAAAAATTTAACCCACTAAATTTACAGTAATATGAAAGTAACTTGGAATTAAAATAGTAATGAGCAGGAAATCTGAGAAAGAAGTTACTGATAGTTAAGTCAATATATTCCAAGTCATTTTTTCTACAAAAAAAACCCATATATTTTTTTTTCTATTTCCTACCCAAATCTGAAAGGCTAATTCTGCAAACTTGACCTTACTGAAAGGTAACATAATGCTAAAGCTGTGAGCCTGGTGGGTCCTAGACATAATTAATTTTGGTTATACCTTTAACTACTGACTTCATTTCAGAAAGTTTTAATGAGCTGATTTCAGATTTCATCACTGGAAAACTGAACTACACACTATATTTGCCTTAAGTGGATGCTATTTTTGTAAACTCTAAAATTTGTATTTTTAAACACAATTATGTATTTTGGGACAGGGACTTGAAGTCTGTTTCATTTAGCAATCTATTGAATAAGCTACCTGTTCTTTAACGAAGTTCTAATAATTTGGCTCTAAGCTGTCTATGTCTGAGATTTGTAGAATATTTTTCAATAGATCTTAAAAATATTTAGTAAAAATATGGAGACTTCTATTAGTGACAAAACATTTGAGGAATCAATAGTACTTCTGTAAAGGAGTTTCTCTGCCAACTAGAAGGAAGTTTAGTAAGTGACTGCAAATTCTCTTCCTAGTATGCCAACATCATTTAATAAATAAACCTTCTGGGTCACAAACACCCCATTCTCTCTGCCCAGTTGAAGTTAACTTACCACTAATATAAATCATTACCCACAGAGTGAACAGAAAGTGTTGACTTAAGTGCCAAGCAAATGTTCAACATATGATGCTTTTTGAGAACATATGTCCCTCGCTTTTCCAAGTACTACTGTACTCCTCCTACCTCAGGAAGAGTGAGAGCATCGTGTTTGACATCTTGTCGAGTATGTGTCAGAATCAGAGCCAAAACCTCCACTGTCTTTCCAAGACCCATCTCATCTGCTAAGATTCCACCAAGTAACTGAGGCCCAGAATTTGGGTACTCACGAATGATGCTAAGTAAAAAACAAGAGAAACCACATCATAGGAATCTGAATACAAATTACACTGTTCCTAATTACTTTTCCTAAAGAGAACTAAAAGCAATGCATGAAGTCTAAGTTTACTGAAACTGTATTTCAGGGTGAAACAATTCAAACCCTAGATTAGGAACACAAGAACTGTGATAACCCAAAAAACTGCCTGAGCTGACAAGTCAGTCTGCAGAAATGAGTAGTAGTTGAAAGAGAACACGCCTGCCTTCTTTCTATGATCTTTATGAATCTATGAATAAAAATGACTAACGGCAGTAACTACTGATTCATTCATGATGTTTAAAGATTACTAAAAAAGAAAAAACTGGCACCATAATAAACAAGATAATATTTTTACTTAGAATAATAATCTCTTGAAATCTTGATAACTAAGCACCTTACGTCTATTATTCCAATATTTACTGAAAAATGACAAGTACTATTAATTATAAATCTATCCTATCCATAAAGATGTCTAATCAATAAGACTTTACCTTTGACTCCTTCATGAGATAGAGCCAAAGTTACAGCTATGCTAACAATCTCGGACAGTTTTTCATTACATTTATTTTTTAAATAAAGCATATAAGTAAAATTTTGCCTTACCAGCCTGTATAAGGATTATAGTAGAGTTTCAAACCCTCAGATGTGACAATCTCTCGCCATAAGTAGTGCAGGACACTTTCTAGAGAAAAATGTAATAACAAATTGTTGTTTTCCCTCTGTCAGATAATCACATTAAAACAAGAATAAGTTAACAGTGAGAATACTCTGACATAGTAATACCCATATTCTTGTGTAGTCTCATTTTGAAAAAGCCACATACTTAACACAGGAGTAAAAAGCTAAAGGTCACTCAATTTTCTTTCTTCTGATATTACTCTTTAGCTCCCTTTGTTTGGGGCACAAATCCCTATCAGCAAATAATAAGACAGAAAAGCAAAGTGTAGCAAATTACAGAGAATTAACAGGAAAACTAATACAGATAACCAGTTACTACCTGATAAGTCTATTTTTAATAAATCTTGCAATAAATTATATGAATAATTCAATAGACATATGCTAGTGGGCTAATGCATTTACTTGAATCAGACCTGACCACTTCTACAGGTCTGAGAGTGGGAAGAAAGTTTAACTGAGAAAAAAATATGTAAAAACCGTTAACTCGGAAGTGCTGAGTTTGCTTCTATCAGAATCTTCCACTAACCTTCCCCTTAATATTTATTTAAACCAACTGCCAAATAAGTAGCATGTTTCTCCCACCAATGAAACACCAAGTAATTTTCAGTCGCCTTCTTTAGAGATTAACAGATATTTTATATTTTTATCTGATAGAATAAAATGACCATTAAAAATTCAAAAAACTACAGATGTTGGCACGAATGCAATAAAAAGGGAATGCTTTTACATTATTGATGGAAATGAAAATTAGTACAATCTCTATGGAAAATAGTATGCTGATTTCTCCAAGAACTAAAAGGAAATCTATCATTTTCTCCAGTAACACTACTGGGTATCTACCCAAAGGGAAACAAGTCATTATATCAAAAAGACACCTGTGCTCGCATGTTTATTGGAATACAAATTCACAATTGCAAAGATATGGAATCAATTTAAGTGCCTATAAATCAATGAGTGGATAAAGAAAATGTGTGATGAGGGGGGCAGGTGTGTATACACACCATGGAAACCATGGAATACTACATAGCCATAAAAAAGAATAAAATAATGTTTTTTGCAGCAACTTAGATGAAAATGCAGACCATTAAATCCAAAGTGAAGAAACTGGAACAGGAAAACAAATACCACATGTTCTTACTTACAAGTGTTAGCTAAGCTATGAGTACACAGGGGCATACAGAATAGTATAATGAATACTGGAGACTCAGAAGGGACGTGAATGATGAAAAATTACCGAGTGGGTACAATACACACTATTTAGATGATGGGTACATTAAAAGCCCAGACTTCATCACTGTCTAATTCATCCATGTAACCTAACACCACTTTTACCCCAACAAAGTTATTGAAAAAAGACAAGAATAAAGAAGTGGCATAAATCCCTCCTATAAAATGACTACTTTCATAAAATATTCAATAGATAACATTTTATTACTTATTATAAAGAAAAAATGTAAAATCTAGGAAAATTAATCACCTAAGTCTCCCACTTTGGTAAATTTGCCTTCTGTCACTAACATTCACCATTAAATTGTAAGAAGTTTCTTGCAGATGATCAGTAAGATTCCCACTTGACCAGATTTTAAACAGCAACTCTGTTTGAAAGGAGTGTAAAAAAAAAATTTCTTGGTTTTAAAAAATTCCAATTGAGGAAGCCTTTGATTTCCTTTTGTCAGGAAAAAGCAGTTCAAACTTTTATGAATGAAGAAACCCACAAATTATTTTTTTTAGATTTCAATTTTGAAGAATTTCTTAGGAAATAATTTTGTTTATATTAACACCCATTCTATCTTATATTTTCAGCACATTTATTTTAATGATAAATTTCTCCCTACCCTAAGTGTCTCTCATATAATCTCTCTAATCAATTTGCCTTTCTTTAAGCATCTTGTTCTTACCAGTAGCAGGAGTGCTTCTGAAACACTCTTGTTGTAGCATCCAATTGACAGCCTCTCTTTGGTAGGGTCTCAATACAGGGATCAATGCAGGATGCTGGACATCCACTTGGATGGACTGTGCTTCTTGCTGATGTGTTTGTTTCACAAAGTGATATAGCTCGTCAATGTCCTGTCCCTCTGGCTCACTCTCTGGATCATCTTCATCCTCTTCCAACACATCTGTACATCACGCAACAAATGTTCTCAAAAACTGCTATGCCTTTTCTAATTATAAGCAATTCTTATTTTAAGAGCATATGATGAACTTGCCCAACTCTGGGGCCTTACTTAGTGTGTTCTGTCACTGTTAAGGCCCTATCTTTTAATTCTTCATTAATCAAAAATCTACTCATCCATTCTTCAAGAAAGTTTAACTGCCTACTTTTTCCATGGCATTTTACTTTTTTTTCCCCCAGGCTGGAATTACGTTCTCCTCTTTTGCTGTGCAATACTTTTATATTCTGGATATGATATGATTACATTGTAATCTATCTGGTATTGCAATCATTTATGTGCATTGGTCCCCTTCCCAGTGAGACAAAGGCAAAGTTATTAATTTTTGTAGCTCCTTAGAGAATCTGATATGCAGCTGACACATGTCTTGCCTATTGTGGACATTTTATAAATATACGAGGACCTCAATGTGAATACTGTTTGAAGTGTACACAGGAACAATTTATTTTACTTTTACAATTTTAACATACAAAGTCCATATGCAGACATAACTGTTCTATGTCGAATAAGTAAAGGGTTCTCATTTTATTTCTTATGCTAAAAAAGGATAGGCATTTGTTGGCAGTAGCAACCATCTGGAAGACAAGTGATTATGCTATTGATGCAAATTTGTAAAAATAATAATTTCATTTGGTGAACACAACTGTTCTGTAGAAGATTTATGTTTACTATAACATAAAAAAATAAAAACTTAGAACATATTTACAAACTCCTTTCAGCTAACAGTTCTTTATTTAAAACCTAATTCTTTCAAGGTGAAAAACTATACCATTTATTTCTGAATTGCTTTCAAAGAGGCCTATACACTTTTATAGGACATACCTCATAACTTCTAAAACTAAAAATCGCACCAAAAAAAATGCACGACTTTTTTCCAGTAAAAAATATGCAACATAAAATTTCCAAAGCTTCATACTTAAGGCATAGCTATATGCTTGGCTGTTTTAGAATTTTACTATAATTATAAAATCTAAGATTAATAGCTAAATTTGAAGTTTTCCTTAGATATCAGGCTTTAAAATGTACAAATTGTGATATTTGTAAAAGGCTGTAACTTAAAAAATTCTAGATGTACTTAAATCCATTCCTTTTAATCTCAAAACCAAAGATTTCCTCATTTAAAGTATTTAACTTGCAAAATAATTTACTATTACTGGTATCATAAAGCATTGCAAAGAATGTACCAGAGAACAATTGAAATTCAAAACTGATTTTCCAAATACTCCAGTATGACAATGTTCTATAATTTGCACCTGAAATAACGCTGACCCAACATGAGCAGAACTTGGAGAATTCGGGCTGTTTTTCCGATAGTGTTGATGAGCTGCACCAAGCCATCTACACTCTCCCTTGGTGATCAATGGCAGGCAACTCTGAATCTGCAGTCCTGACCAAAGATGCAACATCTTGCCAAGAAATAGAGCAAAGTTATCTGGTCTTTATGGGAACCAGGCTTTTGAAATTATTTGCCAGACTGCAAAAGAGAGGTGGAATAAATGCCAGCCAAGAGTCTCCAGCCATGACAAAATAAAAGCACAGGAATAATGCAAAAATCCCAACCAGGTCAGATCCCTTTAGACTCTGCCTTTTGACTTGCATACTGACTCTGAAAATATTTTTTAATATTACTATAAGCTAAGCACAGAGTTAAACAAAGAAACAAATTATATTAGTGGGGACATTTCAAATAAGTATAATTTGCCATAAAATCATTTAATTTTTATTATGGCTTTATTAGCTGTTTTTCTGGTTGTTATGTCTAGGAGTTAGAGAAAAAAACTCACCACTCCTAAGTAATAGCAATTTTTACGTTTACTGCAAATACTACCTGGAATAACATAATTGTGTAACTTCTCCATTACTTTCTTCATGAGCTGATTGAACTTTTTCATTCTTGAATTTGCATCACTCAGAAAGTCTAGTTTTGCTAGGCCAGCTTCCAAAAGATAAATTCCAACCTACAAAGAATTAATCAAAATAAAAGTAGTTTCAATTCAAATATAGCATTCTTTATGAGGACATAAGAAAGAAAAAAATAGCATACTACTTTTAAAGGTATTCACAGCATTTGTGCCACAAATAATAAATACATACCAACCAAATTTCCCGCACATTTCATTTTCAATAAGAAATTCATTCTACAAACGTAAGTACCTACAATGTACAATTTGAGTTGCTAGAAAGTGTTTCCCTAACTGAAATTGAACCTGGAAGAATGTGATAAGAACACCTAGTTCTATCTACCAATGCAATGATTCCCAAAACTGATGAATTAATCAGTCAAGTTTGCCAAAAACACAGATTTCACTAGAAGATTATGATATACAAGTGAGGACTCTTCTGCACTGTTAGGTTTGGGCATCCTTATTACTGAATCAAACACTAAATCAACCTTGATTAATGTTAATATTTTGACCCAGGCGAAGCAATGTAGTATGAAGTTTTACAGTTTAAAGACTTGATTCTGAACACTGGCATTGACATTTAGAAGCTAAGTAAATTTGAGAAAAATAACCTACTTATTTTGACCCAAATGTTCTCATTTACAAAACAGAGAGAAGTCTAGCTTCCCTTTACGTCACAGTGACTCTGTTGGACCTGAGTCCCTAATTGCTGAGAATGTCATATTTTTTCACTAAAGAACAGAATCCACCAGGCTTACACAGGAATGAATGAAAAAGAATGTATTTCATTACTGTTTTCATTTTGTCTTGGCTCACTTGAAGATGTCTTACTACAGCAGCAATAAATCTTTAAATATTTGTAAAGTTCAGGATCAGGAAAAACAGAATAGATAAAGACTCGGTTTGCAGGAATGTAGATAGAACACAGTTATCTATGTAAGTCATAAATTGTTAACATACTGGTTACCACTGAGGCACAATTTTGGCAAAATTAGTAACAACACAGTGAATGCTTCATCATATATTTTCACTGTACAAGGAAAAATTAATTCAATCTAATAATTCTAAATTTTCTCCTTTCCTTCTGACAATTATGAAATTCTTGTTTCTTATTAATGTAAGAAATGTATGAGAGTTTTCAGTTAAACAACATGAAATCAACATTTTAAAATTTCTTTTCAAGATTTAGCATAAAAGTATATTAACTTGCTTCATAGTTTACAACGTGTACTTCCTTACTTTATCTGACCTGATTTTAAACACAATTCTATGCTGTAAGAAGAATGGATATTATTTACATTTCATTAAGAAACTGAAATTAGAGCATTTAAATGATTCACATAAAGTTACTTGGCCAGTGAATTGGCAGAGACTGAAATAAATTACAAATTCATTAATTCACCTACTGAAAATGTAGGTACCAGGTACTTCACTAGATTGTAAACATGAAAGGCTTCACAGTCTAGCAAAGGGGAAAGATCTAAAATGTAAGTACGTGACAAGCTGCCAAGGCCAAAAAAAAAGTCTCAGAGATTCCGAGGCGAGAGCATGTAATACTACTAATAGATTTAAAAAACTATCTCCCTGAATGTATTAAATGCTAAACTACATATTAAAGAATGACCAGGAATTACCAGGGAAGGGGAAGAGAACAATTCAAGCAGAGGGAACTGTGAGAACAAAAGCAAAGACACAGAAAGACAGTGTGGAAGAAATAAATCAATTTGGAGTTTCTGGGGCAAAATAAAAAGAAGAATAATAAAGAATACGGCTCAAGGGTTTGTCAGGGGAGGAACTTGTGCAACAGATTAGGAAGATTATACTTAATTCTGTAAGCAATAAAGAGTAGAATTTCGTTTGCATTCATTACCTTCCAGGATTATGAATGGGCAAAATAGCAAACAGAGAAATGGTTAAATGACTGCTGAACTAAGAGGAAGAGATGATGAGAACCAAAACAAGTCACTGAAAGTAGAGATGAAAGATCTTGAAAAAGTGTAGACTAAAAATGGTTAGTTGTAACATATATTTTTTATAGTTATTAAAAGCTTAAAATAAAGTGTACTTTGAAACTTAACAATGAAGGGCTTATTGCTGGCTTTTTTAGACTTCTCTCCATAAGTCAATTTCAAAGTGGATTGCCAATGTAGAAGAGCCATAAAAGACACCACAAAAATTGAGTACCTTGATAATGTGATTTCCTTCTTGTTTCTGATAAAGTTTTATTCTTCTCTTCTTTTGTAGCCATGCCAAATCTTCTAACATTTCACCACTGAAGGATGACTCCACTAGAATACCCTTGTCACAAATACTCATTGGTTCTTTTTTTTGTTTCTCTACATCTTCACCTTTTGAATGAACACAGATCAGGAACTGATTGCTTGACTCTGAACTCATCAATGTAAAGCTCCTTTCAGAAAAATTTTCAATTAAACTCTGTTCAGGAAGAAGCTGAAGAGTTAATTCTCCTAGAAATGCTTTCCAGGAATTATCGAAGTGATAGGGAGAAATCACAATATTCAACTTTACAGATAAAGGTGAGACAATACCAACAGTCTCTTTTTCAATTGGTTTTGAGAAGCTCACCACTTCTGAACACCTCTTCTTATCTCTGTGAGCCACTTCTTCCTTTAGACTATCACTCAGAATGATGCAATGAGCAGAAGAGGTATCTGAACCTGGGTAGGGCTGTTCATCATCATCACTTAAGGTGATAATTTCATTCCCTCTGTCCTCATGCATATTCCAATGAAGCTGCTGTTGCTTTTTCTCATCTACCCTCACTGGAGGAGCACGTTTCCGTCGGCTGCTCATTTTCAAGTTTTCTTCGTTGGTAACTGTGAACTCTAGAAGACAACTGAAACAACAGGAGGTATACCAAGAGATTATTTAGTATTTAAGGGTAACCCAATGAGAAACTCAGCTTAAATTCATAGCCCATACACATAATATAAAATCTTCAGTGAAATAAAGAAAAAGCAATAGTAATTTTTTTCCAGGTCAATATAACTAAGGAATGAACATATTAACCATAATCTCATGTATCGAATAAATTCTAATGGTTTTACTAGTCTTTAATGGATAAATATAGTAGGCAATTTGTTGCATAAACTGTAGAAATACATTTAATAAGCAATATAAAAGGAACATAAATCTCTCAATCCCAAGTAATTTAACTGCCCCTCAGAACAAAGCCTAACAATACTTAAAAGAGTTAAACAAAATCTAACACAAATGTCCAGCATCAAATGTAAAATTAGGAGGCATGCAAAAAGAAAACAGAAAAATAAGACCCATGACAAAGAGGAAAAAATCAAAAAGCCCCAGAAATGACACAGATGATACAATAAGCAGAAACAAACAATCAAACAGCTACCATAAATATTCTCAATGTTCAAGAAGGTAGAGGAAAACATGAACAGGACAAAGATAAATGATATAAATATACAAGTGACCCCGATAGAATTTATGCAGATGGAAAAGCAACAACTGAAACAAAAAACACACTGTATAAGATTACCAGCAGATTAGAAATGGCACACACACACAAAAAAAGGAGCAGAATAAGCTTAAATGGTGGAAACAACAGAAACAAAAGAAACTGTCAAAAATGGAAGTTGAGAGCAACAAAGACTGAAAAAACAATAAACAGAACATCAGAAACCTACTGGACAATGTCAAGGAGTCAAACATGCATAAAACTGGAATCTTAGCAGGAAAGAAGGGAAAGGATGCTAAATACTTTTTGAAAAAATCATACATGAAAATTTTCCAAATTCTATAAAAACCATCAGCCCAGAAAAACAAGAAGCTCAATGAAACCCAATGAGGGCAAACTCAAGGACAATCACAATCTAAGGTATGCCGTAATTAAATTAATGAAAAGTGAAGGCTTCTTTTCAGATCTACCATCTTTCTCTGGTTTAGACACTTCTCCCACCCTACAGTTCTAAACTCAGCAAAACATCTTTCAAAAATGAAGGTGAAAAAAAGACAAAGGCCAAAAGCACTTACCACCTGTATACCTATAATCTAAGAAATGTTACAAGAAGTTCTTGGGTAGAAGAAATATGATATCAGATGGAAATCTGGATCCACACGAGGAAATAAAAAGCAAAAATGAAAAATATGTGTATAAATATAATAAACCTTTCCTTGACTTTTAAATTTCTCTAAAAGATAACTGACTATATTTTTATTGTGAAAATTTTCAAGTATATACAAAAATATAGAAAATAGTATAATCACAGATCTATACAATGTTCTATGTTTATGAACTGGAAGACTCAAAATGTTCAGATGTCAATTTCTTGGTATTGACCTATAGAAAAGTAATCCCATTCAAAATTCCAACAGGTTTCTTTTGTAGAAACTGACAACCTGATGTTAAAATTTATACAAAAACACCTACAATACAGAAAAGTCGATATAATTTTATAAAAGAAAAATAAAGTTGAATGATTTACACTGATTCCAAGACATATGTCAAACAAAATAAAAACAGCATAGTAATGGTGTAAAGACAGACATACAGATTAATGGAACACAATAAAGTGTCCTATAGTGGACCCACACACATATGGTCAATTGATTTTTGAAAGAAGTTCAGAGGCAGTCAATGAGAAAGACATTCTTTTAGTAAAAGGACATCAATATGCAATAAAATGAAGCTTTACCTCATAAAATATAAGAATTAACTAAAAATAGGTAATAAACTATAAAAGCTAAAACTACCAAACTTCTCAGAGAAAACAGAGGAGAAAATCTAAATGACATTAGATTAGACCAGAAAAAGTCACAAAAAATTTTAAACAGGAAACAAAAACCACAGACTGTGTAAGAAAATGATACATTAAGTTTCATCAGAATTAAATATTTTGGTTCTTCAAAAGATATTGTCATCAAAATAAGACAAGTCATAGACGGGAGAAAATATTAGCAAATCAAGTATCTGATGAAGGATATGTTTGCAGAACATATAAAGAACTGTCACGAATCAACATTAAGAGACACTTAATTAAAAAACGGTCAAAAATTTTGAACAGACATTTCACCAAAGATGACCTACAAGTGTAAAATAAGCACATGAAAATATTTTCACCACCATCAGTCATTAAGGCAATGCAAATTCAAACAAAAAATCACAATGAGATGCCCACTATATTAGAATAGTCACAAATTTAAAACACAGAGAGTATGGCTCAAGCAGAACTGAACCATTTGAACACAGTATAGTCACTTTGGAAAAGCTTGTGAGTTTCTAATAAAATTAAATATAACATACTATGCAGCCTAGTAATCCCTCTCTTAGGTATTTATCCAAGAGAAATCAAAACATAAATCCACAAAAACTTAAAACTTAAATGTTAACAACTTTACTATTAAAAGTCCCAAACTGGAAGAAAATCCAAATGTTCATCAACTGGTGAATGGACAAATTGCAGCATCATCACACAAATGGAATACTATTCTGTGATAAAAAAGAAACAGACTTCTATAAAATGACATAACTGTTAGAGCATTACGCTAAACTGAAGGAATCCAGATGTGAAAGACTATATACTATATGATTTCATTTACATGAAATTCTAGAAATGGCAAAAAACTAATTGCAGAAAGTGATTAGTGGTTACCAGGGGCAAGGAAGTAGAAAGAGGTGACTGACAGCAAAGAAGCTGGAAGGAAGGCTTTGGGGTAACAGAAATTTGTATAGTATATACCTGTCAAAACTCATCAAATTACATACTTTAAATTGTTGAATTTTTTTAGATATGAATTACATCTTAAAGTTGATTTAAAGCGCAAAAACAAAAAGTAGATGCATGATTTATAAATTTTAATATTAAGTATAACTTTATTCTAATAAACCTGAAAAATCTAGATTAAAATGAGTAATTTGTTAACAAAATACAAATGGACAAAACTGGCCCTAGAAAGAAAACATGAATAGACTAACAACCATAAAAGAAACTAAAATAATATTATTTACCTGCCTAAGATCTATCCTCCTTCCTTGATGACTGAACCTTTATTTAGGAACAAGGTAGCCCTGTGATTCGAAGGAAGGTTTCCTTGGCAGATCCGAGGAAGTAGTTTCTATCTACTATTGGCCAAAGGAAGTCCAATAAGGTAGTTATTAGCTGCATGTGGCTACTTAATTTTAAATACAGTTATGCATTGCATAACAGTATTTTGATTGATAAGGGACCAAATATTACAGTGGTTCATAAGGGAGCTGAAAAATTCCTATGGACTAGTAACATCACAGCCATTGAAACAACATAGTTCATTACTTTACTTTTTAGTAAATTTAGCCATAGCCTAACTGTGTGGTATTTACAAAGTCTACAAAAGTGTACAGTAATGCCCTAGGCCTCCACACTCACTGTCTCACTGAGAGCAACTTTCAGTGTTATAAGCAGCACTCATGACAAGTCTTTTATACCATACCTTTACTGTACCTTTTCTATATTTCAATATGTTTAAATATATGAATACTACTGTGTGACAACTGCCTACAATAACTAGTACAGTAATAAACTGTACAGGTTTGTAGCTTAGTAGCAGTAAGCTGTACCATAGAATCTAGGTGTGTAGTAGGCTGGCAGTACCAGCTGGGTTTGTGTAAGTATACTCTAAGATGTTCGTACAACAAACTTGCCACATAACATATCCTTATCATTAAGTGATGTGACTATAAATAAAATTAAATGTTATTATAAACTCAGCTCTTTGGTCTCACTTGCCCCACTTCAAATGCTCAACAGCCTTATGCGACTAGTGGCTATTGTACTGGACAGTATAAATATAGAACATGCACATAATTCCAAAAAGTCTATATATCAAACAGTGCTTAAGTCCATCATGAGAATTCTATTCCCTTAGCCAGTACTTTACTTATAAATGTGCAGGTAATGGATTACAATCGATCCTTGACTATGGTTACCTACTTTTAAAGTGTTTTATCCTATCTTATCTTGGAGGAATATTATAGAAAGTTCTTAATTTCCTAAGTGTTTATGTTTGTCCAGTTCTCCTGAAAGCACAAGCTGGAATACTGAAAGTGGGTCACTCTGCTAGAACTTTAAAAAGTTAGGCTGTACCAGCTTATCAGTTAACTACTGCCACCAACATGCTGTATAACACACTACTCCAAAGCTCAATGCCTTGAGATGCAATCATAATCATTTATTCTCACACATCTGCATATTAGCTGAAAGAGGCTGATCTAGGCTAGGTTTCTGGAAGAGCAGTTTGGCTCTGCTTAATGTAGTTCTTATCCCCACTCCTTGGATCAGCAAAGTAACCTAGGAATGTTCTTTATGGCAATGGTTGAGGTGTATTAGTACAGATCCAATCATGCAAGTAGTTTCAAAGTGCTTAAAAACCACAAAGGTGCCACAGTGACCAAAACAAGTCAAATCCATTGGACCCAATGTCAAGTAGTGGAGATACTACACTTCTTTACTGGGTGAAACTGCACATAGCAAAGAACATGGATATCGGGGATGGAGGCATAAAGGTGGTAGAGGAAGGGAGTTAAGCCCTTAACGTACCACACTAACCATAATAATATTAATTATTGTGGAATAGTAATAATATTAGTTACTGTGGAATCATGAACTCTGAAAACCCAAAAACAACTGTCCAGCAGTCTCACATTTGCAAAGCAATGTGGCTTACAGATGAGAATGCAACACTCTGAAGTCTTAAATTCATTCTAATTCCAGCTTTGGCATTTGCTAACTGTGTGGCACTGGAATAGTTATCCAGTCTTCTGTGCCAGTTTTCTCATCTCTAAAATGGGGATGATAGCAGGATTGTAATTAGAAGTAATTTAAGTATGATTGTGCAGTACCAGACATTTTGCAGTACCATTCAAATGGTAGTTGCTAAATACCATCATCCTGAGAATACTCTAAACCAGCAGTTCCCAATCTTTTTGGTACCATAAACGGGTTTCATGGAAGATAATTTTTCCATGGACTGGAGGAGAAAAGTAGGATGTGGAGGGGGTGTTTTAGGAATGAAATCGTTCCACCTTAGATCATCAGGCAATAGATTTTAGTAAGAAGCGGGCAACCTACATCCTGTGCATATGCAGTTCACAGGAGTGTTCATGCTCTTATGATAATCTACTGACTGTTAATCTGGCAGGAGGCAGAGCTCAGGTGGTAATGCTCGCTCACCCACAGCTCACCTCCTGTAGTGCAGCCTGGTTCTAACAGGCCATGGACTGGCACCAGTCACCCAGGGTTTGGGGACTCTTGCTTCAAACTACATTTTACAATAACCAAACTTTAATGTGGCAAAATGGGGGACCACAGATCAGTGCTTCTCAAACTTGACTGCACATTAGAATCACCAGGGGAACTTAAAAAAAATCCTGATGCCTAGTTGACTAAATCAGAATGCCCTGGGAAAGGACTCAGGCACTACCCCTTTATTTTTTATAATCCCTAAAAAATTCCATTGTGCAGACAAGTTTGAAAAACCTTGTTATGGATAACCAGCTGCCTACTAAAATCCACTTCTTTCAAAGTATAGAGTAGTTGAGAAATGGCTGCCCAGCTTAGTGTGGTCCCGTGACCAGTCCTAGCCAATGGAATGTGAGAAGTAATATGTGCCATGTTTCTTAGAATAATTTTTGTAACAGGCATATTACCAAACCAGAAAACATTACTTCAACTATTTATTCTGTTTTCTGGTAAAATTTATCTAGTATCTTTTAAATTATGTACACCATTCTAATTTGCACATTCCTTCAGATGTTTTCTTTCAACCTGATTATTCCAGCATTAGCGCCTCAAGGTACTTATCAATAATACTGATAAATTGCAGACAAGTAAATACCAGATTTTCTAGCAATGCTCTCCCTCTGTCCAGTTCTTAACTGAGTAAACATTCATGATCAAAAAATCACCAAACAAACAAAAAGCTCCTGGTTTTGGTCTTAAGAAAATCTCTATTCAGAGTTAACTTCTTGAATGAAAGAAAATAGTATTTGGTCCAAAATACTTAAGACTAAAATGCTATTTGGCTACTAGTAAGTCAAGTACTGGTGAAACTCTCTACTAGAAGAAATTCCCGTATTCGTCTAGCTTTCTTCATACCTTCGCCATCACAACTACTGCTTCCTCCTTAATTAGCAGTGTTTGGGTAGAACATGATTTTGTGAAGTTTTATACATGGACCACATTTTTGTTGTCTTCTATTTAAATGTAAAAGCCTTTTGCTTGAATTGCTTTTATGCCTGTCTCAATCCCAGTCTTCCCTGGAAAGCATTCCATGACTAGAGAAGCTGAGTTAAGGGCCTCTCTCTTCTCCATCCAACTGCTACGGTGTTCACTCTGAAAGATGGGCAAGAGTGGTTTCACATTTAGTGTTGTACTCCCAATGACCTTCCTAGCAGGTCAGTGCTAGGAAATAAAGACATACTAAAAGGGTGAAACAAAGATCTCTAACTCCATGGATATATTCCCTCCTTTTGAGAACCTAATGGTACTTTACTCATATTTATTTTTGGAGAATTATCTCTTACCCACATTCTAGAAGACTATAGGTAATATGAAAGTCTTACTTCTGAGAAAAATGAAATCTAATGAAATACTAGAATGAGGCAGGGAAACCTAACTCAACTGTATCTTTTAACAGAAAACAAGGATGGAATCCTAGAAAAATAAATGTAAAATGTTAAACTGCTAAGACAATCCAACAAATGAAAACAAACCTTAAATTCACATTTTCCCCTCCAAAATATTTCCTCTTTAAAAGATATATACGAATCCTGAATTACAACAAATCCATGGTAGACCTCGGTTCAGGATATCAAGGGCAAAAGGGATTATATACTTGCCATATTCCTGTCCAAAGGGTTGTTTTATGGAAGCGAAGCCCACTCCTTACTAAGCACTAGGAAGCTCTTAATGACCCAGGATGAACACAATCTTTCCCTTTTCTGCAGAAATTCTAGCAAGGTGAGAGTATTTTCATCTACTGAATGCTAAAATATGTTAGTTACATAAACTTGAAAAATACCCTTATAAGAAGCTTTTTCACCAGCAAATTCTGTTTCCCCTAAATCTTACTAGCCTAAACTCTTAATAATAAAAGCTTTGTTTTAATAATTCTACAAGTCCAGCTCCTTTTGGGTGTATAAAGAGGATATATAAGAGCATCTCTCAAAAGTAAATTACTTTATCCTCAACTACCAGCTTACTGGTTAACTGGTCCTTCAAAGCTCCAGAACGTGCAAGTTAACGAGCACAGATATTATTATTACAATACTGCTCAGGACCTCTGTCTCTAGCATGTTTACTAATCATAAACCAATAGTTTTTTTGGTGATAATACAGATATTATGGATCGTTTCTATTCAAGAGAGTTTCATCATTCCTACTAATGCCCACTGGAATAATTTAAAATAACAGTAATGACTTTAATAGTATCTTATTTTGTTCAGATAAAGCCCCAAGTTCCTTAAGTAAAAGTTGGAAGGCATCCAACATCTCTGATTTCTATCTCGTGCTAATGTCAAACTACTTGGGAAAAGGGTACAAGCTTCCTGGTCATTATTTAATAATACTGTATTTATTATACAGTGACAATCAATCATCAAGTAACATCCTACTTTCGTTCCTAAACCTAGCAACTGCCAGTCACATTGTACAATGTGATTGTGAATTTGAACCATTCGAATGTAATTAACCTGGCTCCAAAGGTAACGGAGAACTCCGAGTCGGACTGAGAAGCCTCCGTCTCCGCTTTTACTAACACAATGCAGCGCATAAAGAAGGGAGACGGCGGCCCAGTTCCAGCTTGGGGGGCAGACCTGCTGCGCACAGTGATACCCATTCAGTTATCTTCCTAAAGACCCACAGGCGGCTCCCGGAGGCTGAGCGGGGCTGTCAGCGCCGGATCCCTCCCAGCAGGCCGAGCAAACAAGCGACCGCGAGGCCGGAGAGCGCGACAACGGACCCCGGATCCTAGAGTGTGGACGCTCGAGACACACCTCAGGCCCCGATACAGGGGGAGAAGCACAGACTCGTTTCCCACTGCCCCACTTTATCCCGGGAGGGCCGTGGTGGTCCGGGGCTCGCTCGTCCGGGATCGAGAAGGGGGTAGGGAAGACTCGCGCTGCGACTCCCTCTCAGTCCTTGAGCTTCCCGGGCTCCAGAACAACCTGAGTCCTCTCTCCCCGGTCCGGAAGGCCAGAGACGGCCTCCCTCCCGACCTCTGACCCCTGACCCTCCATCACCCAAGCGCCTACCCAAGCGGGTTCTTTAAGCCTCTTGAGTCTCTTTGCACCAGGCCTGCGCTCCTCTACAGACTCCGCAGATCACAGGCACGCATTCGCCACCCACCGAAGATCCGCTTGAGATCGGCAGGAGAGCTTTCTGTGAGATCGTGTAGCGATTTCCGGGGAGACCCAGAAACCACAGCGCCTAGCTGCCGGGCGCGCGCAGTAGCGTGGGGTCAGGCGAATGCGCGCGTCGGAGAGCCCCGCCCTCTTTCTCCTGCACTGGCTTCGTGAGTCTCTTCTGCGCAAGTCCACACTGTTTAAAAACCTGCTAAGAATACAGCGGAGTCTCGCGATAGCTCTGCCCGACGCCATTAGAAAATACAGGATTGGCTGAATGCCCGAAGTAGGGGGCGGGGATTCCGGCTGGGGGGAGGGACTCCCCCTGAAGCGAAGGCTGTGTGTGCTTTGTAGCTTTAATAAAAAGGCAGGGGACCTGCGTGGTGGCTGACGCCTGTAATCCCAGCACTTTGGGAGGCCGAGGCGCCCTGATAGCCTGAGATCAGGAGTTCCAGACCAGCCTGGCCAAGAGAGTGAAACCCCATCTCTAGTAAAAATATAAAAGTTAGCCGGGCCTGGTGGTGCGCGTCTGTAGACCCAGCTACTCAGGAGGCTGAGGCAGGAGAATTGCCTGAACCCAGGAGGCGGAGGTTGCGGTGAGCCGAGATCGCGCCATTGCACTCCAGCCTGGGTAACAAGAGCGAAACTCCGCCTCAAAAAAAAAAAATAAATAAATAAGTAAATAAATAAAATAAAAAATAAAAAAAAAGAAAAGAATTCTGCAAAAGCATCTATTTTACTGCTAGAAAGCAGCCACTAAGTAGGTACGAATAAAGCTGCTCTCCCTTAAAAAGTCTTTAAAGGAAAATGTGAATAAATATTCTAAGATGAGAGAAACTATTAAATATATTTGTTGCGTTGGAGCTGGCCTTCCACTTTTGGTCTTTTCCCCTCACCTCTTTCTCACAGAAGTGAGCTTAACATTGGAATAACTCTGAGAGGCTTCAGGGTCAGGAGCCTGTAAAATACCCCCAAGGAAACATTGGGCACTCAGATTAGTACCTAATAGCAGCATTTCTGCTGTGGAGGCCTTCACCAGGAAGAAGATTAAGACTCAGACTTAGATAACTCAGTAGATTCAGACTCAAACAAAAATGTTAGAATTTTTTAGCAATAAAATACTTAAGGTATATACTTTTTTGGACAATGTTATTGCACACTTAATACACTATAGTGTAGTGTCAGTGTGGGTTTTATATACACTGGGAAACCAAAAAATATCCTGTGACTTGCTTTATTGCAATATTTGTTTTACTGTGGTAGTCTGGAACAAAACCTGTGATATTTCCAAGGTATCCCTATAGATGGAAATCAGTTACTTTACTACAGGATTTATGAGGCAAGCTAAGAAAAGTAGTGCTAATGCTGGAACATTGGTGAGTAGGGTCCTCCTTCCTTGGCAAACCGATCATTTTATCAAATACAGGATGATGTAATGTTGCTTCTGGAAGTGTAATTTTCAACTTGTTTTTAGTCATATATTGTGCTTCTTAAGGTTATCGTTGATAGTTTTATGTCACCTCTCATCATTGGAGAAGAAAATTGGGCTCAAAGTTTGGCCGAGTCTATCCAACTAATGCTAGACAGAAATTTTTAAAAATAAGCACAGCAGGCCGGGCACAGTGACTCACCCCTGTAATCCCAGCACTCTGGGAGGCCAAGGTGGGCAAATTGCCTGAGCTCAGGAGTTTGAAACCAACCAGCCTGGGCAACATTGTGAAACCCTGCCTCTACTAAAAAAATTCAAAAAAATTAGCCAAGCCTGGCAGCATGCACCTGTAGTCCCAGCTACTTGGGAGGCTGAGGCAAGAGAATTGCTTGAACCTGGGAGGCAGAGGTTGCGGTGAGCCAAGATTGCACCACTGCACTCCAACCTGGGCAACAGAGCAAGACTCTGTCTCAAAAACAAACAAACAAACAAAAAAAGCACAGCATCATTTCACGTTTGTTCACCTTGATTGGAGTAATTTCTATACATAATCATGGTAATGTCCATGCAAGAAATTAAACTTCAGATCCAGTTGTCTGTCGTATAGAGATGCAACTTCCAACCATAGAGTTGGAATTCTGTACACTACCATTCAGTGATTATAATGAAACAAAATTCTTTTAAATTTTCCAATGTTCAATTTTGTATTTACCAAATGCTCTGCATATTCTTTGAAAAATTTCTCTATGGAATAATATTTTCAATATTAGAATCATCAGAGCTAATTTCAGAAAACATGGTTCATGATTGCTCCTTGGCCTTCTGGCAGCTCCCAGCTGTGAGACACCTGTTCACTCCTGAGTACACTGAGTTCATCCACCTATTAGATGCTAGTGATCTAATGACATTCTGCAAATCAGAATGGACTGATTGGACATTGTGCATCTTGCCAGTGAACAACTCAGTGTTCATGCAACTCAGTTTATCTGCTCCTTCTTGAAACTACGATATGAGAGCAGTCAGACCACTTTCTTCCTTATGTGATCTCACTATAGATTCATTTTCTTTTGGGGACAGTGGCTTTATTCTAGCCATACCCCCTAACTGGGGCATCTATTTTACAAATGAATATTCTAAGTTGTTCTCATGGAGGAGAACTAGTTAAGAGGGAGTAGAGGAGTTAATGCAAATTTAACTCCCTTTGGGGACAGAAACAGGATAAATGATGATTTATCAGTGAAGAACTTTATATTTTGCTAAAGCCCTTTTATGTTTATTTTTCCATTTGAGTCCTAGACTAGTAATAGGCTTTTTAAATTTCCATTTTACAGGAGAGCAATCTGAGACTCAGAAGTTTGGTAATTTGTCACAATTTAGCTGTAAGAGAACAAGAATACCTAACACTCTTGACTCTTCTATCTAGGCTATTGCCTCTTATTACTAAATTGTGTTGTCTGTCAAATAAAAATGAACAGCTTAGTCATCAACCTTACTAAGTAACTATGGGCAAACTGAAGTCAAGAGGTGTGTCATTACTTATTGACACAAGGCTTGTATATCAACAATAAGGATCATTCAGTATCAACACTGTGTTCTCCAAATAAATCATTAACAAAATAGCTAGAGAAATGTATTTATGTATTCCATATTCTGCTTAACTTTGCCTGCTCTCTGGAAACAAAGTAGGTGGCCACCCAGTATGATTGGGGATTCCCAAAGATGACTTCCTTGTTGCCAGTTTCTACTACCAACCTGTCTTGGGATTGCTTTCCCTTCTTCTGACAAAATGAAAATATTAGGATCAAAATCACTATTCTGGAATGAATTATGTCCAAAACCACTGTTAAAATGTGTGTAGTAGTAAAAAAAAAACAAGAGTGGGAAGAAGAAACATGGTCTTGGAAAATTCGTGTTACCAGGGGTGATCAGCTATGCTGAGGGGAGTGATATCGAATCAACTAAACAAAAAAATGTTACTAAGGGTTGGACGTGCTTTCCAGGAGAATGAGCAGGACAGGAGAATATTGGGGATAGGAGGTATGCAAACTGAACACAAATCCTCATTTTTAGAACTTTACAGCTTTTCCCTAGGCTAGACCTGGATAGATTTAATTTTTAATTTTCAATTTCATTTTTCCTTGATGATTTACAAGTTGGTTTGGTTTCAAAGTCCAAAGTTTGTTCTGTCTCCCTTGCTGTAAGCTCAACTTGCAAACTAAAAGTTAAAGCTGTGTTTCTTCTGCCTCCCATAATTTGTAAAGCAAAATTTGTAGTCTGTACACAAAAGGCTGCATTGAACATGAACCTATGACTGTGTCTGTTTTAGGTGTGAATAAAGCAACGATTTAAATTAGGTAAAAGCAAGAAGGTTGAAGGAGAATCTGCTGGTAAGGAAAGATGGGAGATTATATTCAATGTTTATCAATGAAGATAATATGATCTGTATCATAGGCCCTCTTTCCTACCATCCTAATTCCTTCCCCCCCTCCATAGCCAACTGTTACTTTTTCCCCTAAGTCATGTTTGTTTTTTTTTTTTCTATTAATCTTGTCAGTATGGTCTTGGGCATTAAGGAATAGGAATATTGTAGATGACTGTTAATGCTTATGACTCTGAGTAATATTTATGCAGTTTTAAAATTTACAAGTAAAATATTCTTTGAGTATTTCAAGGATCACTATCTTGTGCCATTTTGAAGTACAAAAATAGTGGATAGCACTTTCAAAATGAATCTAAGACCTCAAGAAATCTTATTCATAATAGTGTTAACATAAAATGAAGCTTGCCAGGAAATGAAGAGCCTTTCCAAAGCTTCCGTCCACTGGGAGGGCAGCACCATGCTCAGACTTCAGCATTTGTGTGTTTAGGTCACCTTGGGGCAATGACAAAATTAGATCTGGATTCCATTTCCTTTAAGCCCTGTTGAATTTCATAACTCCTCATTATGCCTTTAAATAAACTCTTAAATACCACACAATAGTAGTATGTAATGACTAATTATGTTTGTTTGTTTGTTTTTTGGGACAGAGTCTCCCTCTGTCTCCCAGGCTGGAGAGCAGTGGCTCAATCTTGGCTCACTGCAATCTCTCCCTCCACCTCACCTCCCTGGTTCAAGCGATTCTCCTGCTTCAGCCTCATGAAATAGCTAGCTGGCCTTACAGGTGTGTGCTACCACGCCCAGCTAATTTTTATATTTTTTAGCAGAGACGGATTTTCACCGTGTTGGTCAAGCTGGTCTCAAACTCCCAACCTCCAGTGATCTGCCTGCCTCAGCCTCCCAGAGTCCAAAGTGCTGGGTTTATAGGCGTGAGCCTCCACATCCAGCCTAATTACGTTCTTATGCTATAACATCCCCATGTTGACTATGAGCTCCTGGGAGTTCATTTTTTAAAAATTAACCATACCATTCAACCATCCAAGGTAATTCCAGTGAAACCATATCAGAGACAGAGACAGAGACCTGCAATATCGGTTGAGTATTTCTTAGCCAAGGGCACATTTCTCAGATTTCTCATTCATTTCCCAAAGAATGAATCAGACTTCGCAGACAGGTTAAAATCTTTGACCCAACACTTACTAGCTGCATGTCTTTGGGCAACTCATTTCTCTTTTTGATTCACAATTTTAAAAGTATAATGGGAATATAAACACCTACTTTAAGTGTGTTATGTACGTACACACATTTGCTTGTGACATCAGGTGGAAATTTTTTTTCGCAATTTTCAGAGCTGAAGCTCAGGAAA